ATTAAGCGATTTCTGGTACGTATCGGGTACTCGGAAATTCCCGCCTACAAAATTAGATAATTATATTAATTATACTTTGCATGAGAATAGTTAATTTTTTGTCCATCATATTTCAAAAAAGATTAAGAAATGCGTTACAAATGAACCAAGGCATACATTATAAAAAAAGAACTACATTGTTTACCTAGAGTTATTCCATTCGTTGGACAAGTATGAGTATACTTATCAATGGGAACATTACTTTGAACCTTATTGAAAATATCGTTATTGGGTTGATTAAGTATATAGGAATTTACATAATATTCAAAAAAAACAATTTTCTTGTATTATTATGTGAATTGATGTAGTTAAAAAGAAAACACAAATTAATTAAAGATAACAAATTGATAAATTTATATTTTACACGTTTAAGCAAATCAGAATCTTCCAATGGCGCAACGAATTACTTATGGTCGGTCAAAGTACTAATAGTGGGTGCTATTTTTCTTTTATAATAGATAACAACTGACGACAATAACAACTTGGTGTACATGCCAACCGTGAACTTTTAAAATACTATTTTTAATTTTACTTGTCTTTGTGTCACTCGATTTGTTCAATAGTTTGATTTCCTAGGTGTATAATAAAAGTAACTTTCACTGTCATATATACTGTATATACGTTGTACTTGAACATTAGACTTTATACTTATTATCTTATCTCTTCATTTCTTAATTATTATATTGTAGCTGTTCGCATTTATTCAACTGTAAGTAGCAGTCAATATACATTGAACATTACAACTACTTTTTCGCTATCACTATTACAAAATTAAGATACATCTCAACCTGTGAAGAACCAATACCTTTTGTGCTCCTAGCTTCGCTAATGAGGAATTTTCTACCGTGTGGCGGCGCTAGTGAGCGCATGGAGGCAAAAAGTGCCAAAGTCAAACTAAACTAAGTTTCTTTATTTTTATATGTAAGAGGTAGATAAAAAGTATAAAAAGACCTTAATGTACGAAAATAATTTTTTTCAAATAGCTACATTCGTACTAAGCACTATATATAGCAAGAGTTCGCATATATAAATATAATCTACTCATTAGATGAAGTCACAGTAACTTGTTGAATATTTGATGCAAGTAATATGAGCTTTTTAACACTTCTTTAACCGTCCTCTATTTTACATATTTTTATCATTACACAATGGATAACTTTAGCAAGAGAATCTACGAAAAATGGATCAACAAACAATTAATTCTGGAGCTGAAAAAAAGAAATACATAGATAACTGGGAAAAAAGTTGATTTAGTGGAAAGGTTTGCTGTATTTTTGATGTTTAGGGAAGATGATGATTCATCCTTATAACTTGTTTATAGGCTCATTGATTACGATAAAATATGTATCAAGGCTACACGTGAAATTGAAGAAGAATATATATTAATTACACCCGATCCTAATAACTACAGAAACTTGAATGCGTTGCATCCTTCATAACTACCAAATATTTTTTATGTGGAATATTTCAGTTCAATATAGTTAAGATTCATAAAGAAAAAAGAGAAACATGTACAATGATAATTACTTGCTGAGTCTAAGAAGCGCTGTAAATCAAGATAATAAAACATTTTTGCTGGCAAGAATTGCTTCTCAGTTTAAAAAAGCTATTGCTTACCATGAAAATATTTAAATTACACCTCTTAATATTATTTCTGATACTCAGTGTGAGTGTGCTGCTCGTAAGGGGCCAACAGCTCATTGCAAACACGTTTTTTAGGTTTTTGAAGCTGTCAAAGACTTTTTGAGGGAGAAAACTACAAAAACAAAGGAAACATGTACAGAAACATTACAGACATTTCACCAAGCTAAAAAACACCTAGGCTCACCACTCAAGGTAAAAAATTTGGAAATTTGCAAAACCAAGAAATTGAAAAGAAAACTAGAACATTTTGATCCAAAGCCACAGAAATTTAGAAAAAAAGGGAACTATCCAACCTATTTCAGAAATCATTGTATAAACTTTGCAGCTTTAAACTTGCAAACTTTTCCTGAGATGCAGTTATTCGAAGCTGCCAATCTTTACTCTGTATATAATGATCATGATTATTTACCACAACACATGGAGGAAAGGTTTTTCAATGACATGTATTTATCAGCTATTACCAAACACCAGGTGTCTGAAATTGAAGTACGCACCAGAGGACAATCAAACAACAAACTTTGGTTTGAGGAAAGAAAATTTAGACTTAACAGTTCTAGTTTTGGTGAAATTTGCAACACATCCAACCCTGAACAACTGGTGAAAAAATTAATGCATCCTAAAGACTTGTCACAAGTTCCAGCTATCAAGCATGGTAAAAAATATGAATTGTATGCCATTAAAAATTTTGAAAGGATTATGAAAACAAAGATCCAAGAGTGTGGAACATTTATTTCTCTACAATATCCATATTTAGCTGCAAGTCCTGACGGTATTATTAATGATAAAACTTGTTTGGAAGTTAAATGTCCCTTCACTGCAAAATATCAAACAATATCACCTGAAAACATTAATTACATTTATTTATGTGACAAAGAAGGAGTATATAAGTTGAAAGAAGATCATTCCTACTACTACCAAGTTCAAGGACAAATGCTATGTGCTAATAAGTATGTCTGCTGCTTTGTAATTTACACTTTAAAGGACATTCTATTTTTAAAAGTAGAAAGAAATGAACAGTTCATCGAGCAAATGGTTGATACATTGAAACAATTTTTCGTTAATCATTACAAAAAAGCAATCATGGATAAGTTTGTATATAAAAGTTTATAAAACAGTGAGGAATTCTGAAATGAAAAAAATTCATTATCTTTTCATTTACACGTTCAAATAAATTATTTTACAAATCTAAGAAAAAAAAATACAATTAAATTGTACAAAAATATTTTCAAACGAAACATAAATCACATTTTTTGCATTCAAGCATTTTTACTAATGATTGGTCTTCGAAAATTGCATAACATGAAACACACAAATATTATTTCATCTGACAGTAGAGTTTGAGTATTATTTAAGGGTCCTTCTAATATTTTGTATGTTTTTGCCAATCCACTTATGCGTTCAATATGAACTCGTTTGCTTGCAATTTTTTGATCTTGAGTTATAGTGGAAGTTGACAATTGATTTTTTTTTCTTAAAAAAATGGGGAATATTTAATGTGATACCGTATGGAGCTAACAAATCTTGTATATCAAAGCCTTTATCGGCCATCAACTTGTCTCCAGGGTCGCACAAGGGCATAATTTCGCTTCTTTCAATAATTTGTCTATCGCTTGTTGACCCCCCATAGGCTGGAGTAATATTTGTCACCAATTCAACGGGTGAAGCACAGATTACTGTTTTTACAGTAGCTTTATTTTTATAAGTGGAGAACGTACATTGTTGAGTCGTGGGTACACTCGATTTATCTATAGGTATCTCAGTTCCATCTAAGATTCCTCTAGTCCCTGGAAATTTATCTAAAAAATCACTAGGTGTGAAAAATCTTACTAGATCTCGTGATGGCCACTGTAAAATTTCTGACCATTGCAGATACAAGAATCTAATCCAGGTAATAAAAACGTTCGTCACTTGCTTTAAAGAAATATTGAAAAATACACTCACTTCGTAGTATGTTCTGTTTTGACGAAGAATCAACAAAGTTAGTAGAAATTGATTTTCACTACTCATATTATTGGATGGTCCTGGACCGTTAATATAGCTAAGTTCGTTCACAGCTTCACCAAGTGTTTGAAAAACAAACTGAAACTTTTGATACGTTTCCAACCCTGTATAAAAGTGTACTAGTTTGTCATCACTTTTAATAGACTCAATACAAAAATTGAATGCTTTTAAAGTGCAGGTATCAGACAGATTACTTTTTGTTACTACAATTGGAGCAGAATTTTGAGTGACTTCCTCCCTTATTTCATCTATAACAACTTCATGACTAACATTTAAATAACTAAATTCTAATTCATGATTCAAGATATGCAGTGGATAAGTAATTAGGCCGGTATCATCTCCTTCAACACTCTTATATGGCACATGAAATTTGTGCTCTTCAATACATTTTTGTATCATTTTTTTCAAGCATTTTTCAGCAACAATATTTCCAATGAAATGTGCAATAAACCGTTTAACTTTTGCATTCTTTTTTTTCTCTTCTTTTATTTTTTCTTTTTCACTGTAAAATGGTACTGCTGTGGGCTTTAAACATTTTTTTATTGTACCATTGCCTGCAATTAAAATGCATTATCAAGATTATNTTTGCATTCTTTTTTTTCTCTTCCTTTATTTTTTCTTTTTCACTGTAAAATGGTACTGCTGTGGGCTTTAAACATTTTTTTATTGTACCATTGCCTGCAATTAAAATGCATTATCAAGATTATGATTTTTCTATTTTTTAATTATACTCTTACTTGTAGCAATAACATCAAAATCATCAGGACTAAAATGTGAGCTGCAAATTTTACTCCATTTGCCTGGCGTCCAATGCGAAAATTTAAGCTGCTTCATCCAAACTTTCAGTTTATTTTCATTTTTAGGAAACAAATGCCCTCCACTATTCACTAAATTTTCGCATTCATTCACACAACATTTTCCTCACATTTTCACTCAATTAAACTTTGGATTTTTTCAAGACACTAATTTTATTATTCATAGGTACAAAGTGTAAACCATACAAACAAATGTGATTTCACATTAAAAAAGCAGGTTATATTTACATGTGCCAACTCTTGCTACATATGTGAATAGAACGATTATAACTATTTTTTTAAAATTATTTTTGTATATTTTTTATATTTTGTATATCACAGTCTTTTTTCATACTCTGTATCTGTCTCTTATTTGTAAAAATTTAGAAATTAAATTTAGTTTGATTTTGGCGCTTTTTACCCCCATGCCCTCACAAGCGCCGCCACACGGCAGAATATCCCTCTTTGGAGGGAGATCAGTAGTAAGCTGCCCACGCTCCACGTCCCTTCTCGGTCCCTTTCTCTTCTCAACTGCCCTCCGCACTCTCCGCAGTCCTCCAGTGAGTCTTCGCTCGTCCAGTTAGCAACTTCGCTCTGTCGCCGTAGGACTCTCTCGAGTCTCTCAGCGCAGGCGAGCAGCGTCTTTCCCGATCAAAAGGCTTTTTTCGTTCTTCATCAGAGAAAAAGCACACCGAGCCAACCATGGCCCAAATGCAGCACAGCCGCAAGCGCGTCTGCTACTACTACGACAGTGAGTACACCCGATATTTGTTTAACAATCGTGGAGAGCTATTCTTTCTCTTTTTTTTTTTTTTTTTTTTCCTTTTTTATTCGACAAACATTTCGTCGTGTGACAGTGGTGTCCTGGACGCTCGATGATTGTTCGCTCTCGCTCCTGGGGATCCGGTGCTTCGGTATCGCTTTTTTTGCTTGCGGTCGTTTGGCAACCATCCGAAGCGCGACCAGCGTGTCCTTTGATTTTCAGAGTTGTTTAGGTGGTGCGTACGGTTTTTCCGAGCTTAAGCCGAGAGACCCTTGCGGTCGGAGCTTCGTGCGACCGTACAACTCCCCCTCCCCTTCCAACGATGCTCGCTGTGGCGGCGCACGTCACGTTTAATGGCGACCGTATAGCTCGGGCCGAGGGTCTCTCGAGTTATCTTCTGTAAAACAGTATACGCGTTGTTTGGGGGTTGTACTATGATTTTAATGGTTTTTCAGCGCGATCGTTTTGGTCATGGGAACAACGTTTTTCAGGGGTTTTCGAGGTTTACGCCTTTTTTTCACAAGCTTTTAGATATAATTTAGATATAAGGGATACATCTGTAAACTTGAAATCGCGTCTGTTAAGTGGGCTCTTCGATTTGTTGCAGCGGGGGGCGGGGGTAGGGTTGATGGTATTTTTACTTTTTACGATCCCGTCAATCTTGAAAGGATTGTGTTTATTTATTTCATTAATGGTTACAAAGAAATTCGGCTTTTTTTGTTTCTAGTTGTTTACATGATTTTTGTTGATAAACGGATACTTGCTTAATTAATTCCACTAACTAATTAATTTAACTAAAATCAATTCAGTTGAACTTAAAAGCCATCAGCCTTTAATTTATGAACTTGCATTTCTGTTGGTGCCTTGAGAATTATCCGAATTTTAGATTTTTTTTTAAATTAGGATTACACCAGAAATAAAAACTGAAACATTTGGTTGAGATGGTGAATTAGTTTTTTGTTCAATCTCTTTTTTTTACCCGGGTGCAAATAATTTTTAGTTAAGTATTTTACAGTTTCTTTATTGTATGATTTACATCAATTATAAAGCAAGTGTTGAAAAGGTTTATTGCATTCTTTAAACACATAGCTGGTGCACTTTGAAAGACTCCATTTTGAAAAAAATGTAGTAATAAGTTTTCATAGTCTAAACAACGCCATTTATACAGTGAGTGGTAATTTTATTAAAAATTTCAGGTGATATTGGAAATTACTATTATGGGCAAGGTCATCCCATGAAACCACATCGCATAAGGATGACGCATAATTTATTGTTAAATTATGGGCTTTATCGCAAAATGGAAATTTACGTAAGTGTCATAAAAATTTTTACTTGTTAACTCCCAAATTCTTTTTTATTTCGCAATTATTCGTTCTGATCTAACGTCATTTGTTTTAAAAATTGCATCCCAACATTATTATTGCAATAAATATTCGTATGTTAAAAATATTGAGCACTGTTTTTCTACCTTTACAGAGACCACACAAAGCTACTGCTGATGAAATGACTAAATTCCACAGCGATGAATACATCAGGTTTTTGAGATCCATTAGGCCTGATAATATGACTGAGTACAACAAACAAATGCAAAGATGTAAAAATAATTTTGAATTATTTGTCATGAAAAACAAAATTACCAAAAAAAAGTTGGAAGCAATGTCATAATAACTAAATTATTAATTCGTAGTTAACGTTGGAGAGGATTGTCCAGTCTTTGACGGGTTGTACGAGTTTTGTCAATTATCAGCTGGCGGTTCAGTAGCTGCTGCAGTAAAGCTTAACAAGCAAGCATCCGAGATTTGCATCAACTGGGGAGGTGGTCTCCATCACGCCAAAAAGAGCGAGGCTTCGGGCTTTTGCTACGTCAATGACATTGTGCTTGGCATTCTGGAGCTGCTCAAGTATCACCAGCGCGTGCTATACATCGACATCGATGTTCATCATGGTGATGGCGTTGAGGAGGCCTTCTATACCACGGATCGCGTTATGACGGTCTCTTTCCACAAGTATGGAGAATACTTTCCTGGGACTGGTGATCTCAGAGACATTGGTGCTGGAAAGGTTTGTGTTGAATTAGTTTTTCTTCAACAGCAATGAAACTATTTAAACTAATTTAGCTTCATTTGTGTTGTCTTACAACAATATGAGAATCCGTGCAAAATAATGAACTGTTTTTCCATTTCAGGGCAAATATTATGCTGTGAATATTCCTTTAAGAGACGGAATGGATGATGAAAGTTACGAGTCGATATTTGTACCAATCATATCAAAAGTAATGGAAACTTTCCAGCCATCGGCCGTTGTACTTCAATGTGGAGCAGATTCTCTTACGGGTTGGTACAATCATTAAGTTGACATATTTTTTGGAATTGCTCTTTACTTGAATAAAATTCATTAAAAATAATAATTTTTTATCTTCATCAGGAGATAGATTAGGCTGCTTCAATCTGACGGTTAGGGGTCACGGCAAGTGCGTTGAGTTCGTGAAAAAGTACAACCTGCCCTTCCTGATGGTGGGAGGAGGTGGTTACACAATCAGAAACGTCTCTAGATGCTGGACTTACGAGACTTCTGTCGCTCTTGGCACAGAAATAGCCAACGAGCTTCCTTACAACGATTACTTTGAATACTTTGGTCCAGACTTCAAATTACACATAAGCCCTTCCAATATGGCCAATCAAAATACTCCCGAGTACCTAGAGAAAATCAAGACGAGGCTGTTCGAGAACCTTAGAATGCTACCTCATGCGCCTGGTGTTCAAATGCAAACTATTCCAGAGGATGGTGCAAACATCGATGACTCAGAGGCTGAAGAGAAGGTTAATCCTGATGATAGGCTTCCTCAACGTGACGTTGACAAGAGGTTACAGCATGAAAATGAGTACAGCGATAGTGAAGATGAAGGTGAAGGTGGCAGGAGGGATAATCGTTCCTTCAAGGTAATTATTCCGTCCTGATATTCAATCTGTATTTTTTAGATTTAGTACACGTGATAATTAATAAATGTAATTATTACTCGTACAGGGATCCAGAAAACGGCCGCGATTAGAAAAAAATCAAGAAGGTGGTGAAGGAGAGCTAAAGAAAGAGGAAGAAATAAAAGCAGAAGTTAAAGGTATTATTTTCTATGCCCATTTTATGTAATGTTGAGTTGTTGAATTTTGCCTTGACGTTTATGCTTTTTTTCAGCAGACAATGAGAAAGATGAAAAGTCAAACGCTACTAGCGAGGAAGTAAAAAAAGACGGAGCAGCAAATCCCTGATTCAGGCATCCGGATAACTCCTTCAAGGAATGGAATGTAAAAACTATTAATTAAGTCAATTTGGACGGCCATTTTTGCATCCACGAATCAACGTCGATTGCAATAATTTTCATTTGTAGGGCATATATTTTTCTGGTTGTCGTAGAGTGTAATATTCTCCTTTTTTCTAGAAATTCTATTTTGGTTAAACTTAGATTCGTGGTACAGCATAATGGCCTTAAATTATTTTCTTATGCATTATTTCACGTATACAGTGAATTTTCTGCAAATGTTATCGTACATTTTAGAAATTTGATAACTTTAAATTAGATAGTAATATTTTCGTTACTTCTGTGAGAAAGACTGTTCCATTTCAACTTCCGTTTTGTGGCATTTCACGCACTACTGGTACACGTGTGTGCAACTGGTCTGAGAGGTTGAATGTTTAGTCTTCGAATTATCCATAAAACTACTTGTTTCACGATTTCATTATGCATTGTACATTGCTAGTTTATTGTAAGCTTTAAAAACAAAACGGTAATCATTACAGTGGCCTTTTGGTTGCTCAATTTTTTTTTATTAGCATTCACACGAACAAAACTTATTTGCTGGTATAAAAATTGAATCATCTTTTATTTCCAATAAAACGTTCCATTCAACGGTCGAATGAAAAGACTTCGTTGTCATTATGGATCCAGTTTTTGACTGAGCCCATATTTGGAGATGTGATTGGAATAATCGAAACTTATATAAGCCCAATACCGATCATGAACACAACTAGAACAATCAAATCGAGTTTTTTAAACGCATTTGTTGATGTAAAAACTAATAGCTATACAAAATGTTTGTTCAAAATTTGATACTAAAAAGTAAAAAGTAATTGTTTGCTTTTTAAATCAAAGTACAGATATATTATTAAATAAATGATGACATTGATACTCATTATTTTTTTACATCATTTTGTCCATTGTAATTTCAAGGGATGAAAAAAAGTAACCTATTAATCGTAATATAGATAAAACTCGCTTTGACGACATTCTTAGTTATTGCAAGGACTTGATTTTTTTTGCTTCCTATTTTTGTACATATTTTCTACAACTAATGAAACTACGTGCTCGAATCGTAATGATGCGTTCGGTTCACATTATGTATAATAATTTATTTGTATTTCGAGAAAAAAATCCACTATTGCGAAGCAGACGTTCAACAACTTAAAATAATAGTAGTATGGTGGTAATAAAACGTCTGTTTAACTTGACTTGCATTAAAAAGAAAGACGATTTTTTTTTAAGTCATCGCTGTTTGTCAGCTAGTCCGATTTAGATGTGTACAAGATTTCTGTCTTGAAATCTTTTTTCAGACCGTCTGAAGTACTCGAGTAAAATTATTCGCAATTTGGAAATCAGTCGGACGGATGTGAGGAAATTATTAACAATGGTTCTAACTTCTTGTGCTATATTTATCTTTTGTTACATTTATGCTAAGATTTTGCAAATAAACCATACAAATGATGTATTATAGCTTTGTAATCAATTGTGTTACTTTTTATATGTACAAACATAAAGATCTCAATTTCTACATAATACTATAAATGATTTTTAGTGTAAATGTAATAGACGAAAAACATGGGATGTGTATGTGTGTGCGATCGCTAAATCGGATTAGACGTATGTACGTGAATCGTGACTACAAAGGTGGGATCTGGAAAAGAATTAAACTGATTTTAAAATCTAAACTTAGCATCATGTAAGTTTTTTCCTAAACATGTTGCGTCGTGTTTCTTATATTAATGTTTGTTTTTAGAGATAAGGATTGTAATATTTATGTCTAAATATTTATAGGATATTCAAATGTTTTTAATATTTATAATAAAAAAGTGAGACAAACATACTTGTCAAAAGAACTTTTTCACAATTAATTCCTATTGTACTTGTTTTGTTTGCGCTTCCAGGATTGTTCATTTTAAACAGTATTTTTAAAGTTTTAGAAATATTAATAAGGTGTCACGTAGGAAAGATATTGGTAAAGAGGTGCTTCGCGAGAATGATCAACAATTGGTTATATCAAGAGCTTTATTCAATCACCGAAATTAAAGGCAAAGTATAGCGCGTGTGCTTGGTCTCTAAGGCTCGTCGTATAATCCTAATTCCCAAATCCGCGAGTGCCCGACTCCTTGACTCTCTGACTGGTTGACTGCCCGAGTGCCGCGGGCTTATAATATATTAGCTTGTTCCCCACCTGTCGATGCCTTCTTGATAAAGAAGCCTCGCGTTACTAGGGACAGTCAGTATGACATGCCTTGCATATCGTACGTCACAAAGGTAATTGTAACAAATTTGAACTAAAAAATAACGATTAACAATTGTTAATGTGAGACATACGATTCTCTGAATTCAAAGGAAATGAGTCCACAGATTTTGAGCACACATACATCACATACTTATTGAAAATCTTAACTCTGGACAAATATTTTTTCTCCCTTGTTTTAAAGAAAAACAATAATCCTTTTTTAATATTTCAAAAATCATCTGGCTGTTCTGTAAGAAAAATTTTAATTCATTCACGTATACGATTTGATCATCTATTCAATAATTAATTTATTTTTTGTGGTACAACTCTTTTTTTACAGAACCGAAAAGCTAACTTATTATTTTACAACTCCGGTTTTTTAGCCCAACTCAACCTGAGTGAGCCCATGCAAAAAATATATAAAACATCTGTTTTTTTGTGACGCGACTTCAGTCAGCGGCTCAGAGCGGTTCACACGTTTTATATATATATATATCTAATCTCAAAATATTTTTGTGTCTTCAAAAGTGTTATTATTATATCTTATCACCTAGTCGTCAAGTTGTTGGCCAACCCGCCACAGTGACAAGCATAAATTATGATAATGCAATACCGAGTAGATTAAGTGTTTTTGTGTGTTTTAACCTTTAAGTACCAAATATAAAGTTTCGGTTGAAATAAAGAAAGTGACATCGCCATGAATTACGACTGCATGTTAGAAAAAAGCAGATAAATGTAAGCGCATGGAACATCAGTGGTCATAATACATTGAGGATGTGATTGATTTAACAACTACTTTTCTTTGTGTGTCAAGGTATGCAGTCTTGCATTTTTTGGTGTTTCATTAATGAAACGTAGTTTCTAATTATCACGATCATACATTTATTTAATTTGACCGGCAACAATTATATTCTTATAGACCATAACTTGCTTTCAGGGTGCAATATAAAGGGCAGATGACCTATTGGATCGTCACTTCGAGGTTTTAGTTTGCATTTTATTTCGATTCAACCCTTCGAGGCTGTGATATTAAGATGATCTCGCACATAACGACTCTTGCCAACGGCATCATTGGCGTCAGTGTTCTGGCAATGCCATTTTGCTTCAAGCAATGCGGCATTGTTCTTGCAACACTGGTACTGCTACTCAGCAGTGCTCTATCCAGACTGGCTTGTCACTTTCTCATCAAGTCAGCGGTCATGTGTCGCCGAAGGAACTTTGAGTTCTTGGCCTTCCATGCTTTTGGCCCCATGGGCAAGTTTTTCGTTGAGCTGTGCATCATAGGATTCTTACTGGGAACTTGCATTGCCTACTTTGTTGTTGTTGGCGATTTGGGACCACAGATCATTGGGGAGTTCATAGACAAGGAGCCCAAAGACATAAGAAGTGGCCTTCTCATTACCACTGCTGTTTTTATTGTTTTACCTTTGGGTTTGTTGAGAAATGTTAGCAGCCTTGCAAGCGTCAGTACTGCATCCATAGCTTTTTACATTTGTCTAGTTTTAAAGGTAAGAAAGCTTGTGAAAAAACACAATGGATACTCATATAGCAATGATTTTAATAATATACTTTTAACAGGTAATAGGTGATTCCACTCACAGTATTTTTTCCGCCGATTGTTTTGACAAAATATATTTTTGGAGACCAGCAGGTATGCTCCAGTGTTTGCCAATTTTTGCCTTGGCCCTGTTCTGCCAGACTCAGTTGTTTGAAATTTATGAGACTCTACCCAATGCCACCTTGGAAAAAATGAACCAAGTTGTGCGAGGAGCCTTAAATGTATGCACAGTTGTTTATATATCTGTTGGATTGTTTGGTTACATTGGTTTTTGTTCTGAACCGTTTTCAGGTAATTGTATTTAATATTGTACCGTGTAATCTTTAATTTTTCAATAAAGGGATGGTATTAATGAAATCTAAAAATTGCAGGTAATATTCTGATGAGCTTTGAACCAAGCGTGACCTCTGAAGTCATCAAAATAGGCTTTGTTCTTTCAGTGGCATTTAGTTTTCCACTAGTCATTTTTCCCTGTCGAGCCAGTTTAAATTCTTTACTTTTCAGACGAGTAAGTACTCATAAATTTTAATCTTTGGTGATAAAGTGCCAGCACTACTTTAAATTTAAAAATTTACACTGTAGGGCTACACACACTTGGAAACGTCAACTAGTTACATATCAGAAACAAAATTTCGATGTCTCACTACTTTTATAGTGATAATATCGATGGTTGTCGGTATACTGATTCCTAGCATTGAATTTGTACTTGGTATAGTTGGATCAACTATTGGTGTTTTGATATGTCTGATATTTCCTGGTATGTTTTTCATATCCATCAGTACAAAAAATACTAATGAGAGGTTACTTGCTCAGGTAAAAGTTTTTAAAATATATACGTCATGGAAATAGTTGCGTAACTAACATCCTGGTTACTCGTAGCTTCTTGTAATTATTGGTCTGTGGATTATGATTCTTGGCACATATGCTAATCTATATGCAATGGAACAATCGTCGAATTCGCAAGTTGAAACGGTAACTCCAAAACTTCCTGTTCAAGTGATCAATGGTGTATCTAAAACGTTCATAGAAAACGAAGTGCTTGTGGAGCAAAATCAGTTAAAACAGCCTGATAATCTACTAAATGTAAAAGGTACCAGTGTACATTAGGATATGCTATTTGTGGGAAAAATTCATAATCTTCTTTTTACAGATAATGTCGATAAACCTCAAGCTAGAGTTCCTGAGAAACCTCCTGATGAAGAAAACATTAGACGGGAACCTCCTGTACCCGTTGAGCAATTACCTGTAAAACCACAAGATAAAGTACCAGTTGTTGAATCAATAGTAACAATTAGTCCAAAAGTGCAAGAAATAATTAACAAGATTAGTATTGATGATCAGTTAGTTGATGAAGCCAAAAAAGCATTTGATTCGTTGAAAAAAGTCAAACCTAAAAAAAAGGGAGCTTCTAAAATAGAAGAAAATCCAGTGCCTGATAAACTTATGAACGAGCCTCCTAAAGGTGAAGAGAACCAAGTACCTGTCGAAAAAAGTAAAAATGCTGTTAGAGTCGATGCGTTCCAAAAAAACGATATAGCTGTAGACGCTATCAAAAAAGAAGAATCTGAGCTTGCTGCCGACAAAGACATTCTGAACGTTGATCCTATGCAGAGGCGTGAACAGCTCGATAAAACCTTGGTCAAACATATCAAGGAACAGAAAAAAATGATGCAGGAACAAAAGGAGTTGTTGAAAGATATCGAGAGAAACGAGAAAAAGTTGGAACAGGAAATCGGTGGCGAAAAGTTAAAGGACCTTGAAAAAAAAACCCTGCTAGTTGATAACCCTTCACTGGGTGAAGAGAAGAAACCAGGTAACGAAGCGAAAAAAGAATATCATGATGTTGCCAATAAGAAAGTTAGAAAAAAAGCATCAGTTGAAATGATCGGCTTGAAAAAGAATCTGTCACGACTGATTACAGAAAAGAATGGATCACAAGTAAATGTAAAGAAACCACTAGATAATGAAAGTATTGATAAGGACGTACATATAATTGATAATGAAATGAAAAAAGTAGATGATTCAGAAAAAGTAAAACTAATCTCACTGGACTCCAAGTTAAAACCAGACTTGGCTGTAAAAAAATCTGGTGATCACATTATTAAAGCTTTAAATAATCAATCGAATAAAATTTCCAGAGAATTTGAAGCTGCAGAAATATCCAACAGTCATCAAAATAATAACGTTGACTCACCAGGTCTGATGCCTAGTGTGAAAAACAATGATAGTTACGTTCCGTTGGTTCTAAAATTAAATTCACAAAATAAAGATACTCTGAATTCAGATAATTTAGAGAATAACCACAGTAATTATGCTCGAAAAAACACGTTGGATGAGCACGAAAGAGAAAAAAGAGAAATTGAAGAGAAAGAAAATAGTAATGAACTTAAAACTGCTATCAATCAAACAATCATCGAAGGGAATAAGAATGTTTCAGTTGTGCAAGATACAGTTATAGATAACAAGAAAGAAAGTTGTGAAAAAGAAGAAAAACAAAATCTTCAAAGTGTGAATCAGGAAGAACAAGTGACTCTTAAATTGATAAATAATGGTAGTTCCATAGACCTAATTAAAACTAGTAGTTATTTGTCTGGACAGGAAGCTATAAAAACTGTTTCAATTGATTCAGAATTAAAATCAGGTGACAGTTTGATAAAAGTAAAATCGAGAGATTTGAAATCCATAAATTATGACAATGTTGATAAAACGTAGTTATTGAGTCTGATGCCCCTGTAAAAAAACGATCTATTTTTTAGTTTGTGCATTTAGATTTTTTAAACAGCAAAAGTATTTCATGTACAATTTATTTTTTTAATTATTTCAATATAAGAAAAATAATGTACATAGGAACCGTTGCTATCAAATTATGTATAGATTTCTTAATAAAAAATTTGAAACTCAAAGGACCAATAATTACAAGAATTATTACTATTTTGTCATAGTATCCTTATGGTACTAAAGATTAATAGCTTAATAAGTATTTTTTTAAAGTTATAAAATGAAAATCTGTACAAATTATGATAAATGTATGAGCTAACATGTTCGTACATGTAGATTTGCGATTAAAGTATATTTTTCTGTTACAAACTAACTTCAATGTTATGCAGAGTCTTCATCTCTCTACATTATGAATATAAAAGTAATTTATCATATTTATGCAAAATATCTGTAAAATATTGTGTTTATAAATATTTTTACAATGAAAAAACAATCTTATTAATTACACCTCATACGCTTACGAGTGAAAATGCTGAAATTTTTTTTTTCTTTTTAACACAGTCATTATCTCTATGAATTTTTTTATTTTTTTTTATTATTCTACCCTAATGTTACATAAAATTTCAATATAAAAGAAATTAGATAAAAATAAAATAAATTAGTCGTTGTTGAAATGATTAAATCAATTTATTGCGAAAAATTTTGTATTTCTTAAATAATAATCAGATACACGCGAATATAGTATTTATATATCTATGTTTATAAAATATATAGTAGTAAGATCTATCATCAAAACTAAGCATGATTGAAATAATTACTGAACAATAATAATAATAATAAGAGTTGCCTATATACATATTTTTTTCTTGGATTTATATTTGCTTTCAATCAATTGATACACCTAACAATGTTCGCTGAAAAGAGAAATTATGCAATAACAATTACCATTACAACAGTGTACGGGTTTCACCCAAAAGGATTCAAGAAATCAAGCCTTGCGTATTATGCCGAAAATATAGCTTTACATAAAAATAATTTTTGGAATGATTGATTATAAAAACTTTTTTTTAAATGATGTACATCAGTGACTATTGTGCAATTATCAACAAACAGTTTATTGCATCACATATAGTTATTTAAAACATTACTTTAGATCGGCACATGTGACATTCTTACATTCAAATAGTTTTAACACGTAGTATTATTAAGAGGAAATGTTATCAAAACAAAGTTTTTTAAAAAATACTCGGAAATTTATAATGAAACAAATATACTTTCATTAGTTGAATGTTTCAAGTTCAATTCATTTTCAAGATTTCTTAATAAATGGTTTTTCGGAACAATTAAAAGTAACGATTCATAGAAGCTTCGACTTCTGATAATTTGATTAAAAATGGTAAAAACTAAAACTATTTGATAATATTTACCGGAATTCCTTGTATCACTTTTATTGTAAGCAATATACAATTAACGTATCGTACAAAAAAACATCGGTCAGTCCTCATTAATGTTACCTCTTTAGCTTAAAACATACTGCCTTTAAACACACTTATTATCACGATCATAAACAAGCGGCACTTGCAAGGTTATTAGATTAACATTTCCGATTCTCGTTTTGCTCCATGGCATACGCTTTTCATACGTGTTCCACCTACGATTAGAGTAATCACGATTAATTTCTTGTTAAAATTTACCGACATGTTTCAAAGTCTCTGCAAAGTTTGCTTGTTCTAAGAACTCTGCCAAAAAATGGTTCCAATCAGAATGGTCAAAATAGTAACACCAATAACTATCAGCACACACTTTTTCTTTCGTATTTGATTTTTGTAAGTTGATGCCTGTCTGAGTTGAGTTGTGCCCTCATTTACAAATACTTCGGTTCTTTCAATAGATGTTTCGATTGAATCTATAACTTCACCTTGCTCGTGCACAAGAGCACCTAATTCTTTAAATATCTGATTGACATCGCTTATATCGCTCTGAAAATAGATAAATGCAAAAATTAAAAGCTGTTGAACATTAAAAACTGGTTAAAAGCTACATGCTGTGACTCTTACTTCAAGTTGACGAATGTTGGCTTCCTGTTCTTCAAGCATTCTCAAATTCTGTTCTTCTTGTTGCTGGTGTTGAAGCTGCTGAACTTGGCTTCTGTTATCTTGCAGCTCGATCAATACATCTTGCGTTTTTTCGGCGAAAGGTCCCACGCTAGCCTTAGTTTTTTTGATAATGTCTTTTTCCTTATCAGCCGCTAACCTTTGCACAGTCTATATGAAAAAAAAAACAAAAAAAACAAAAAAACAAATTAAGCATCGTTTTAATCGGTGTACAGAATTGAGTTAACTAAAATACAGTACCTGGAAATTATTAAGAGCAGCCATGAATTCATCATGAAGTCTTTCTTTTTGCATTTTATGCTGTCGTTGCTCTCCTGGACTACCAGACCCAGAATTATTGGCCAGAACATTTAGCTCTTTGAGATGTCCACTTGTGTCTTTAGCAAGCTGCTGTGTATAGTGTTGAATTTGATGTCTGAAAGAATGCAGATACATTACAAAAAGCACAAAAAAATGTAGAAAAGACGTACACCTTACAATAATTATGAATGTAAACTTAGAATTTGGTTAATTATTATCATTAAAGTCTGGTTTTGCAATTTTTTAAAACAGAAACTGACGGAATTCAAGTGATGTTTTTGTAACTGTAGTAAACATAAATGAATAACATGCAAGTTTTGGAGTGAACAATTAAAAAAACAGTACATCAACTTACAATTGATGTCGCAATTCTTGTGAATCTGTTGAGCTTCCAATCTGGTTAACCATCTTTTGCATGGATGATACTACAAGAAGGATAATAGCTTAATATCAGGCTTTTTGTCTAAAGTAATAAACATTGTCTTGAGCCAAAATAACGTACCATTTTGGGATATCTTTAATATCGATGTGCCAATAGTTTGAGCAAGCCTGCTGAAGTCTTGTTCTCTGGTGGGACCACCATTGTGGTACGAGGAGAAGCCAGTATCCATTTCGAAATTCGTCTTGAATCCTTTACTTAAACTTTTGTTCACGTAAAAACAAGCTTAACAAAGCAATGATCCCTGCAGCTGGATTCTGCTGAAGTGAATGCTAACAAGATTGCCAACACAATTGTCAATGGTGATCGTAAAGTACAATAAAATAGAGGTGGCTTTTTTTATCTCTGAGTGAGTCAGTAGCACAGAGATGATGGAGAAGAGAGCTTAGGTGTGTATCCGTACATATATAGGTATATAATTACTCAACTGACAGCACACGATGTCTAATGTAGTAGGTATGGGTACAATATTACGTATATACATAAAGTACACCAAACAATTATCTCTGTCTCCTGCCAATCTTTCGTGTGAAAATGAGAATGTACATCACATTAATTTAATTATATACCTATACATGAAGCACTAAAACATCAGTTTATTATACTTGTAGCTTTGCTATACACCCACAGACTCATGCCACAAACTCCTTTTGCATAAAAAAAGAAAACGCTGAAAATTTGGCCTTTGGAAAACACCAAGTCTTCAATGAGAGATGATATACTTATGATGTCTTACAGAAGAAAAAAATATCGTGTACACAGATATATAAGGTATTAGATTATTTTTCTTACACGATTTACATAAGTAAACTATAGTGAGGTAATTATTGTAATCAAGTATGCAAGGCCTTTCATGTACATGCACTTACTTCATGTATTCGAGCAGTACATACAGTTAACAGTTGGTCAGATTTTTTTAGCTATAATCATACAATGTTGTCTGCAGACATGACGTTGCCGTTGTGTTGTTGTTCCCTATTATTTGACATGCATTGCGTGATTAAATAAGAATTTTTTTTCAAATCGTTCAATGCTTACTCGACACTCTGACGGATGTTACTTCTCAACATGACGGAACACTTCTAAATATGTATACTTAAAAAATTATTGTTTGTAAATAAATGTATTGAATATAATATCTCCGAGCGAGTTGTAATTTGTAATACTTAATTTAATACAAAAGATAACTCATACTAACGACTACTAAGTATAACTCTACATATTAATAATAATCAATAGTGATATTTTTGTTTAAGGAATAATGTATTATGTAAGTAAGATAGGTATACGTGACGTTATGTGTAGTAATTATAGTAATTACTACTAAGTAGTGCCATTGTGTCATATGGTCGATTTAATTAAACCATGCAAGTTGAATACCTATACTTTTAGAAGTCGATTTTCAGGTAAAAGACAAATGGTAAACTTGCCGTAAATAGCACAGAAAATGTCAACATTTTATTGTCTATTTATCAGATAAGTTGCGGCTGGTTTATAATCAATTACATAGCTCTACTGTGAGTAGTAATAGTTATTTGGATCAGCGCCATCTAGCGTTGCGGATTTCTGAACTAAAAAGTGGCCCTAAACTTTTGACTCGCAGCATTAGCGCTTAGAGCCATTTAGCTTATTATAAACCAGCCGCAACTCATGATAAAGCTATAAAATGAAAAAATAACGATACATGTGTTTTTGGCGGCAAGTTAACAACTTATCTTATGCTCGAAAATTTATCTTCAAAAGTATAAATACATAGGAGGTCAATTTTTTGATAGAAAATAGATTGTTAACTTGCCGCCAAAAACACATGTATCGTTATTTTTTTAGTTTATATCTCTACGATTAAATGCGGCTGGTTTATAACTCATTAAATTGCTCTAAGCCTAAATGCTCTGTTTCAGAATTTCAGAGGCCTTTTTTGGCGAAAAAGTAAAAACCGCTAGATGGCGCTGATCCAAATAATTATTACTACTTTAAGTGAGTAGAGCCATTTTTTCATCTATAAACCAGCCGCAGCTAATGTTTTAAATGTAAAATAAAAAAGTTTACGTTTTTTGTGCTATTTGCGGCAAGTTTACAATTTAACTTTTACCTGAAAATCTACCTCCAANCTCAAAAATTGACCTATATATTTATTCTTTTGGAGGTAGATTTTCAGGTAAAAGTTAAATTGTAAACTTGCCGCAAATAGCACAAAAAACGTAAACTTTTTTATTTTACATTTAAAACATTAGTTGCGGCTGGTTTATAGATGAAAAAATGGCTCTACTCACTTTAAGTAGTAATAATTATTTGGATCAGCGCCATCTAGCGGTTTTTACTTTTTCGCCAAAAAAGGCCTCTGAAATTCTGAAACAGAGCATTTAGGCTTAGAGCAATTTAATGAGTTATAAACCAGCCGCATTTAATCGTAGAGATATAAACTAAAAAAATAACGATACATGTGTTTTTGGCGGCAAGTTAACAATCTATTTTCTATCAAAAAATTGACCTCCTATGTATTTATACTTTTGAAGATAAATTTTCGAGCATAAGATAAGTTGTTAACTTGCCGCCAAAAACACATGTATCGTTATTTTTTCATTTTATAGCTTTATCATGAGTTGCGGCTGGTTTATAATAAGCTAAATGGCTCTAAGCGCTAATGCTGCGAGTCAAAAGTTTAGGGCCACTTTTTAGTTCAGAAATCCGCAACGCTAGATGGCGCTGATCCAAATAACTATTACTACTCACAGTAGAGCTATGTAATTGATTATAAACCAGCCGCAACTTATCTGATAAATAGACAATAAAATGTTGACATTTTCTGTGCTATTTACGGCAAGTTTACCATTTGTCTTTTACCTGAAAATCGATCTCCTATGAATAGATTTATACTTTTGGTTAATAATTAATATACCCGACGACCGAGCGGACCGAGTCGAAGGACGAGCGAAACAGTTGGCTGAAGGCTCAAGCCGAACTCCACCAGAGATGAGAGAGGAATTATAATATAACACAAATACATACTTACATAGTACGTGACATGACTGTCGTCAGTCGTCATCGGGTGTGTTCCAGTAATGCTCTCCCGCTCTCCGACAACTTACCGACAACTTAATTATGTCTTACGATATCTTGCGTCATGTTTAAGTTGTCGGTAAGTTGTCGGAGAGCGCTACTGGAACACACGGATCAATGGGTACTGCCGGCGCTGGTACCTGACACGGTCATTCTTTCCCAGACATTCGACTTTACTCGAGGAGGCAGGCTATGTGTGTTCTGATTTCTCGTTACTCTGAGTGTTTTTTCTTGTTCAACGGGCATTGAAAAGCCAGAAAAATGCAGGGACCCGCGGTCTTTATGGATGGCACCACCGAAGATCAAGTAAGTCCTTTAATTATTACATTGAATCTCACTTTACCTCTTACTTACCAAGCATCCCTATTGGAGTGCTTCTCGCGAGGTTAGTTAAATGCCACATGCAAAATGCCGACTTACCGTCTGTCTAAATGGTTGCTTATCTTTTGACACCTGATGACATAGCTTAAACCTACTTAGATTGTTTTTTTGTGAATCTCTTTGACAGAAATATATTCCGATTTATCGTTAAACCCAATTTTTTTGGGTAATTGTAGGCACAGGAATTACGGATCTACTTCAAGAGCCAAGGTGCTGAAATCAGCGAAGAGAAGTCACCAAAAGGTATTGAGGATGATCTACATAAAATCATTGGAGTTTGTGATACTTGCTTCAAAGAAGGTAACGAAGTTGAAATTGAAAGCGTTCTAAATGATATAGTTTCTATCATGATACTCGTCCCAACTGAGAGGGCAGAAAATATTGTTCTTGCTTTCTGCGAAAAGTTGACCAAAGCACCTGGATACAAGCTGGGTCTTGTTTGCCTCAAGGCGTGAGTTTTTTTCTTACCTTGACTGTTATTGTTTATTATACAAATCGATTAATTGCCAAAGTATATCATCACAAATATTATTTTTTTTTTACTATTGCAGATTGTGGCTTCTTTTCCAATCATTGCCAGAAGACTCCTCCATGAGATATCACGTTTATTATCACTTGATTCAGATTGCCAAGAATGTTGATCAAATTAAAGCTGTGTACAATGGAATCGAGCAGCTAAAACAACAATTTGCCACTTGTCCTCCAGCAACTGAACAGATGCAAAAACTTCTTCGTTTGTTGCATGAAGTTCTACTTAGCTGCAAACAAAGGTGATTATTAAAATCATAACTATTATGAATATCTTGGTATAAATATAATTTTTGCAGTGAACAGGCAGCTGCAGTGATGGTAGAGTTGCTGGGTACTTATACTTTAGAAAATGCATCTTCAGCAAGAGAAGATGCACAGCGCTGTATTTTATCTGCTCTGGCTGATCCCAATACATTTTTGCTAGATCCTCTGCTAGCTTTAAAGCCAGTGAGGTTCTTGGAAGGTGAACTCATCCACGACTTGCTTCTTATTTTTGTACAAGAAAAGCTTCCTGCTTATTTAAAATTCCACAAAGATCATAAGGAATTTGTCGAGAGCCAACTTGGTTTGAGCCATGAACAAAATATAAAAAAAATGAGATTACTCACGTTCATGCAGCTGGCAGAATCAAACCCTGAAATGTCTTTCCAGACGATCCAGCAGGAACTTCAGATTGAAGAGGAACAAGTTGAAAGCTTTATCATTGATGGTGTGTAAAATATATTATATTTATAAATATTTATCCCTGTAATAAATTTACTTATTCCCTTTGTAAGTAAATGAACAAGTACATCAAAACAGGGTAAACTAAAAGAATTAGTACTGGCTGGATAAAACTACATTTTTATCAAGTTATCGTAACATTCTACATATATTTATGAACTCAACGAACGTTATCTTGTCAGCTACGAGTCTTAGAGATAAAATCTAATCTCAATATCTTTTTAGTATTGAAAACTAAGCTGGTGCGCGCACGAATGGACCAAGCAGGCTGTAAGGTCCTCATCTCGAGTACAATGCACCGTACATTTGGTCGACCACAGTGGCTGCAGCTGCGTGACCTCCTTGCTGCCTGGAAACTTAATCTCAGTGGCGTTCAGGATGGCATGAAGAGTGTTGCCAGTGCTCAAATGGAGCTCGCTGCCAAAACAAAGGCTCCCCTGATTCACTGACATACGAGGAAATTTCACTAAGCGGTCTTTCATGACGGTTACTCTTTCAATGGACTGTTAAGAAGAGTAGCATGAGATCGCTAATGTTTTTTTCTAATCCTCCCGCCTTGATTCTCTCGCATACAAATATAAATTTTTTTTTTTTTTCTATTTTATTTCAGTATTTTTTCATTTTATAGCTTTATCATGAGTTGCGGCTGGTTTATAATCAATTACATAGCTCTACTGTGAGTAGTAATAGTTATTTGGATCAGCGCCATCTAGCGTTGCGGATTTCTGAACTAAAAAGTGGCCCTAAACTTTTGACTCGCAGCATTAGCGCTTAGAGCCATTTAGCTTATTATAAACCAGCCGCAACTCATGATAAAGCTATAAAATGAAAAAATAACGATACATGTGTTTTTGGCGGCAAGTTAACAACTTATCTTATGCTCGAAAATTTATCTTCAAAAGTATAAATACATAGGAGGTCAATTTTTTGATAGAAAATAGATTGTTAACTTGCCGCCAAAAACACATGTATCGTTATTTTTTTAGTTTATATCTCTACGATTAAATGCGGCTGGTTTATAACTCATTAAATTGCTCTAAGCCTAAATGCTCTGTTTCAGAATTTCAGAGGCCTTTTTTGGCGAAAAAGTAAAAACCGCTAGATGGCGCTGATCCAAATAATTATTACTACTTTAAGTGAGTAGAGCCATTTTTTCATCTATAAACCAGCCGCANTCGAGTTTTTTAATAGTGAAAACCAAAACTGGTTGTTTATCATTCTCTTTTGTTACTCTTGATTATATATTTTTAAAAAGTGGTACATACTTTTCTTTGAAAGATGTTATGTTGAGAGAACAGAATCTGTTGTGTAAGGGACTGAAAAAAACCGCGCGTTTTAAAAAGGTATCGCAATAAATCAACATCATTGAACATCCTAATTCTGCAACATGCAACCAAATTTTATATGTATACATGATTGTGTAAACATCAGCTCTATATATAACTTTTGATTGTTGTTTTGAAACCTAAGTAAGGTAGATACAGTATTTAGATTTTTCATGAATTTTTTATGAAATAATAAATTGGCTCATAGTCTTATTATGCGCTAAATGTATAGCGCATGTATTTTAAACAATCATTACATAGTTGCATAATTACTGCACAAGGTAGTGTTTGTTACAAACTTGGATTATATAACGCAAATTGTAAAATATATAATCACCAAAACATAACATTGATCATACTTGAGTAAAAAATATATTAAGAGAGGACGAAATAAATAGAGCGACTAGTTCATTTTTATTAAAACAATCACTTTATTTTCTGCACATACAATAGGTAAATAAAGTAGCTTTCAAAGAGCTATAGATATTCAATGATTTCAAGCTGCTTAGATACTTGTTTATTGTTTCTCACGTATAACACTTGGCCTACAAAACATATATCGATTAATTCGTTAAGCGAATTCGGTAGAAATTCATTCTTTTATTATGCAGGGATGTGTACAAACATGTGTCTCAGTATGAGTAAAATATCAGTCAAAAATTGGTTTCAAACAATTGAACACCTTATAAATCTCACAACTACAAAATACTTACGCAGACACGAACATTGAGAATTTAGGATATGGAATTAATTTGTCGAATTTAATACAGGTTTTGTTTTTTTTTCCTACAAACTTGTTGGTTTATTAGTACAAAAAAAAATTCATTAGATTACATAGAAAAATATTTTTTTTTGTTTACGAAAGTGTGTAATGATTTTATTAAAAAAAAAATTTACAGTACACTTTAATTTTTAAAATCGATCAAAAAATAAGTAAAAGATTTAGTCGACTAAAAAGTGAAATACATTCGTTGTATGTATAAAAATATGACTTTGACTTACGACTTACAGCTAGCACTATCTAAATTTAATAATTTGAATTTGCATGATTCAATATACATTTTATGATAAAATAACGCAGGCTTAGTATCAAAATAAAAAAATCATGGCATTGTAAAATTCATTAATTAAATAAATGTTATTCCACATCAAATTGGATCCTATAAGAATTTCATTATTAATTTCTAACCATCCAAATTCATAAAATTAAAAAAAAATTAAAGTTTCTTTATATTTGATAGGATATAGTACTAAACGCAAAAACTTTTTAGGTACATTTTTTTCTCAAGACTGAGTGTTGATATACTACTTTTAAGATTCAACAAATACAGCTTTTAAAAAAGGGTTTGATAGATTTTTTCATTTTCAATAATATAGTAGCCATTCTATAGCTATCACATATTCTGTAAAAATATATAAAGTGACCGTGTCCTTGGTAAACGTGACTTTAAATCAAATTTTTTTTTTTTTCAACAATTGTTAATATTCTCGTAAACTCACAGCGGGTTATATTGTTATATTTCAAGGTACACTTTTATACAATGCTATTTGAAGTAGAGAAAAAATTATGTTTGAAATAAAACATGATATTACTTTGTTTTGAACTAACAGTACAAATAACACTTGAGGAAACCCTTGTTACGTTGAAACTGACTTCACGTGTAAAACGTCTCTTATTTATTTGTCGTCAAAAATTATATCTAGATTTGTTTGCGCTTTTACAATAATTAAAAAAATATTCATCTTCTTTCATCATCACTTGCTGCATTAATCGCGCGGTTCGTCTCTATAAAATAATAATGGCTGACATGAAATGTGTCACAGAAATATTTTTTTTTTTAATCACGTGATTGCCGATAAATTTTTTTTCACTTTACAATGAAACGGCGACCCTACGACGTTCCGAGTCAGATTTGGGTTGAAAATCGGGGGCGTGGTAGATCACCAAAGGGAGCGTCACCGTGAACGCTTTTGGCTAAGGCCTTTATTGATGCTTGAATAATGTTAGGATCAATGGGCTCTCGTGGCATCTAAAATAAAATAAAAAAACAATTAATGTGAAGTACGTTATCTTCACGTTTGAGTTTGAAATGGAAAAGAAAATTTGGTAAGACAATTACCTCTTTCCCATAATCATCATCATGTAAATCAGGTCCATTATAGGAATTACAAAAAGGAGGCACATTCACAGGTAACGATCTGGCTAAATTACCATAATCACTCCTACTTCTAGATATATAAGCTTCTTCGTTACCAGAGTCTAAAACATAAGCAAGTGTAAATCAAATTTTTGCAAACAAAGGTTTTAAAAAATATTTAACTACAGAATAACATACCCTCAGTATCCGAATCGTGATCGGAAACTAGAAGATTGTGAAGAGGAGGCGATATATCATCCATACCCTCTAATTCAAAGAGAGTCTCGTCGTCATAACTGTTTCGATCCTTACATTGTTTACCATTTTTAATAATATTCTTTAAAAAAAACAAATGCGTTAAAGGAGAAAAAAAGACATTTAAGAAATTTCATATTTCGTAAAAAAAGACTTACAAATGTATGATCCGCTTTCACTGGTTTCAAAGAGGACTGCTGATGAAGTGGAGTGTTACTTAGAGTTGCGGCGTCAACCGCGTCGCTTACGGGTTTTTCGGTCCGAATGGTTTCAGGAGTTAATGGTGGTGTGTCGAAGTTGGCTGCATCAATTTCATTTTTCTGCTCATTACTTATCAACCTGTTGAAAGTAAGACAGTTGGAGAATGTCTTGAAAATTTTTAAGATGAATAATAAATAATATCACCTTGCCAGATGAGCACGTTCATTGTGAGCACGTTCCTTGTATATTTCTAAAATACGACATTGTTCTTCAGTGAAGGCGCGTATTTTTTCATCTGTCAAGCGAGTTTGACAGTGGATGGCGTCTTCAAGAGTTTTATCAATTCCTCCAAGAGCTAATCTTAAATTACTTGACAGATGAGATACTATATGTAAACATTGTTAACTAAATAAATTTCTTACTAGTTTTAAAATTTTTTTCAAATAGCTGTTAAAAAATTAGTTACCAGAATATTTAGATGGTGTTTTGAGCAAACCAAGCTCATCTTCTTTGTTTGAATTTATTATTATCCTAAAAATTGGACTGTAGTGAGGACAAGCTTTCAATTTCTCTACTTCTTCTTGAGATATCTAAATTAGATATAATGCTTAGCATAAAAATATGTTTCTTAACAAAAAATTCATGCTACAGTCTTAAAAAATTACGTTGTCAAACTTACAATGACACTGTTGTTAATTAAGACCTTGGCTGCTCCATATACCCTGTGTACTGCATGGGTGTATAAATTACAGTTGAAACAGCGATGAACAGCCCATTGACCTATAGTTTTAATTTCCACTAGGCCAGGTTGTTCTTTTGTAATAATGTCCAATTGACTTGTAGTAGAAAGATCCTAAATGGATGAAATATAATTTTGAAGGCACCGTTTAATTATTGAGCTTTACATTTTTTTTTTTTTCTTTTTTTTTTCTAATGTATTAATCATTTACATTTTTTAAAAATACAGCCTTCTCATTTGGAGATAAATCTAAGTCATCGTCACTGACAGTAGTCAGTTCTCCTCTAGTTTTAATGGTCACATTCAAACACTTGCACGTGATATACATTTTAAAGCGATACAAAAGGAAAATGGAGTTCCAAAAATACTCTGAAGAGCTCTACTTTATATGTTTGGCAAGATATTTTGTGAATTCACTATGGCTTGGCTCTATAACGTTTCACTCCAAAACATAGTTTTCTCCCTGTTTTCTGGCCTGAAATAACGTATATATATATAAATATAACAAAATATAAAAATTACTTTCTCTACATAAATATTTAAATTGGATACACAATTAAGAATTATTTTTGGAGCCACATGTTTCTATTCACAATTGCTAACTTTTCTCTAAAAGTATTGCATTAAATTTTTACTTTACACAGGTTCAAAATGATAAAAACTTGAAAAACAAGTTACTCATATATGCTAAGTTGAATGATGGTTTTTCTAATGAATAATAATTTTAATCAGGCTCTGTTGAATAAACTTGCACAATTTTAAATGCAAATCGAGTTGAATAATATTATTGGGAAATTTTTTAACTGAAAACTGAAGAAATGTTAGCCAAAAGTAGTGTGCCATGAATAAAAAATTGATGGATACAATCTTTTTTAAAACACATACAGTTTTTGTAAATAGAAAAGAGATGGTTGCTAAATCCAACAAAAAAAATAAAGATATTAAACAACAATTGTTATAAATGTTTTGTATGCATACATAAAAGTTCGTTTGAAGTTATAGAGCTGAAAACAATGACGACAAATAAGTGCTTTTAGGCAATTGCTTTTATCTTATCAAAGCTGACAAATATAATGCCCAGTCTCAAAACATTTTTATCTTGCACTTTTTTATGAAAATTTTTTTCCCACCAAGATACATAGACAATGTGATCCACACCTCAAATTTATTGTAAAACAGTGAAAAAGTATTTTTATACAAACCAAAGCAGTATGTGTGATAAAAAAAAAAAGAAGAAACAGTACATTATCATGAGTGAAGTAATGTATAATCGTTATCCTTGTTAATAATCACCAACTAATTGCCAGAATAATTTAAAATTCTCTCTATTAAAAATCAAGAGCAACAATTTATATTTTCTTTCTTACTTCCAAGTACGAACTAATATTAGATGGCTGATAAAGAATATATAATTACAGTTAAAAATCAACAACTGCACTTGGAGGGGAAAAAAAACAACATTTACAGCCAAGTTATACAAATAAATTTATCGTCACAGGTAAAAAATTAAATCAACGATAATATGAAGATTAAATTATTCCGAAAATACACACCAACTTCTTGCCCTACCCCCGGCTTTTCCAAGTTGGTGTTACGCGTATGAAAAAAAATGTAAGTACCTATGTTTTACCTAAACGTAATAATTATCAGTTTCGATGAAAATAAAAATAAAAGTAAAGCACACACACCTAGTGGAAAAACACCGTCCCCCAGTCAACTGTACCTATACTTAGGTTCAAGTAAAAAAAAAAATGTTCTTTCTTCGGAGCACGTACCCGTTTGAAAACCCTCCCAAAGAGAGAGAAAACAACACGCACAGAACACCGAAATGACCGGATGAGCGAGAAACTTTGCTTGGAATTTACGGCAGCAAGACAGAGAGACAAATATCAAGAGGGAGGGGGAGGAAGGAAGGCGAAGGGCAAGCGAAAGCAAAACAAGAATATAAGTAGGTACTCAAAGTATCAAAGAAAAAAAGAAAAAACTACTGTAAGTTAGGTGTATATCCCGTCGTCGGTTCGTCCGCCACTGACAACGCGCAAACACTCACGTAGGACTTTTAACAAAAAGAAAACACGTTTTTGAGGCATCTTATTAAGCACCGCGGCACAACAAATTGATTCAAACGGAACACCCAATAGTCGCTCGTATATATGTATACCTCTGTATGGATAATCTACACCTATATGGGTTGTACGTGAAGTATACTTAATTTATTAGGTACTTATAAATCTAGTTTTGGATCTGTTCACTGGCACGCACCTCTTATTCACAGCATGAAAAACATTAAAGATCGTCAGCAGCAACAGCAACAATAACAACTTCCAACAAATATAAAGAAACTTATAAACAAGAACGAGCGCGGGGGTGTCGCAAGAAGCGAGACTCTCTCAACTCCGGACTCCGATTACGACTGCGATACTTACATGTATCGAAGATGCAGTGTGTTTTGTTATGCATACAAGAAAATAAGAGAGAAAGAGAGGGTGGGATTACTCTGCGCGCGCATTTCTATTGGCGATTGGTGTGTGTGATCTCCTTTCATAAGTCTATAAGTACTTAAGTAAGTAGTTACCGCTCACGAAATTGCCGCTGATGAAGCTTATTTTATCTCTTAAGGACGTTCGGTAGATATAGAACCCTCTGATGAATCTTTTTAAAATTTTAACCAGACGTTCTTATTGTTGTTACAATATAGCTGTTAAAATTTCAAGAGGTTCGTCTGTTTCGTTTCCGAGATATTGAATTTCAAAGTTCAGTCATTTTAACACGGTCGCTTATGGGGAAACTTATAAAAACTCAGTTTAAAACAAAATTGGCGTGATGAATGTCTTCAATTTTTTTATATGTCACAGATAATGTTATTAACTACATGTACACAAAGTTTTACGACGATTGTCTGATTAGTTTATGAATAAAAAAATTAAATAATAGTTAGAAAAAAACGCAACGGCAACGTCGCAAGAAGCGGGAAATTCAAAATGTTCCAGGACGTACATTTCAGTAAATATTTGAATATTATGGTAGATATTTATGGAACGACCCCCATATTCCTATAATAGTATAATGCACCAGCTTCATGCATGTGATCGATCATCTAACACAAAGGAATATGTATACATACATGCATATGAAGAGTACACAGTAAATAGTTTCATTCTGCAGTATTGTGCTCTCTGCAGCTGCACCTCTGCAGAATGAGTCAGTTTTGTTGTGTAAGTATGCGCGCAAAAAAGATAGTTGAAATCTGCATTAACAATTTGAATGTGAGTGTCGAGTGTGTAGGACGGTACTACTCAAAGCTCAAAAGTGTTTTTATTGTATGTTGGTGTAATCTTGACCATGATGCAAAATATAGATTATCATAATATAATAACATACAGTAGGTATGAATATAATATATGGTATGTTGAATAGTAAATAATTTCTACTGTTAATAAACCTTGTATGTATAGATTCGTATGACGAAGCTTTATGTTATTGATATAGATTAGAGATGAAAGCCGGCTCTCTAAAAAATACTTTATCTTTTGGACCGCTTGGACGTTTATTACTACTTATCTGCATTCCTAGAAAACGTTGAACTCAAAATTCAACATCACAAAGAACTTTGTAGTGTGAGCGTGAAACTGTAAAAATTTCAGAGAGATAAGGATATTGGATATATTACATGGTAACATACTTAGTAAGTATGTTAGATTTACGGAATACGGATTGTATAGAGCCGGCGTCGCCAAGCCGGTGTGTTCTCGTGGATTAGAGAAAATATGTACCTATTTAATATTTAGGTACCTAGACTGTTAGCCCCAGAAAGAAAAGCCTTAAAGTGTTTTTGTGGAAATTTACAAATTTTTTGGGTTCCAATTTAATATATAATACGTCCTGTAATGGAAAATTTAATATACTGTATGTTATTAAAGATTTTTACGAAGAGCGAAAAATATTTGTCGTTTATTTAGATCGCTGATTGTCACACTGGATGAGGAGAAATATATAGAGTATAAAAAAAAAAAACATGGATTTTCGGCCAAGTATCTAACTGTTACGGTTGTTTGACTTTTCATGAGAAAAATTGTGCACTCGCACCACATACCACAGAGATGTGTTTCAATGAGTTTTTTAACTTTCTTTAGGATTACGCTTGTGTAAAACGTCTACTTGTATGTATAGAAAAAACGTAATTTTTTTTCTTACTTATGTTTCCTCTATAGAAATACCTTTCCAAATGCAAATCATAACGACGAAGTTACCTATGAATTCTTTGAGACTGATTCGTCTCTCTCACGTATTTATCAGTATTTTCCTCAAGGTCGCACGTGCCTTTTGGTACAATCCATGATCAAAAAAAAAAAAAAAAAACGACAACGACGAAACTAAGAGAAATTTGTATCTTGTCTTATTATCGGCACACGAGTGAGCTCAGCTTGGACACTTTTAAAATAATAAAAGCGCTAACAATACACTAGTCAAAGACGTAATAGGCACACAATCCGCAAATCCGCACAACATTTTTCGTACATGTGTAGGAACAACACAGAAAAAGGTAATCTGTTTCTAAGTACAAACGTGCAGTATTATACACTCTCTCCCACGATTATCCTCTTACGCATAAATATATAAGTAGGTAGTAATATTTTTATTACAGACGCGCTGTACCTACTTCGGCAATCGCAATATTTATACTAATATCGCGTGATCTGGTGATCGTTAAAGTGCAATGCATATTCTATATATATAGCGTATGTATGAGTTAACAACCAAGACTCTCTCTATACATACCAAGTATATTGCATTTATCATGCAAAAAGCCGTCCAGTTGCGTGATCCAATATATATATATTTATGCGGAACGTGTGGATGTGGATTAATATATGTATACCGCACGTGCAAAACTGCAAAATTGATACACGATGATAGCGTTTACGGCACGCTGGAATAATTTTTAAGTAAAATTTATTGCCAACACGTACATTGGCACCACAGTTTTTTTCTTCTTCAATATACTCAAATCTATGAGTAGCCCGTAAATAATATATGTGCCGTGTGGTAATTTGAGATAAATTTAAAAATATAAAAAGGTAATTAAGCTATGAGTCAATCATTATTTTTGATGTTTGAACGTCATTTGCGATGAATGAGCATACATGGTATTATTGATAGCATTTGATTTTTAATTATTTTGTATTCATCAGCTATTTTTACCAAGCGCCAATGCTAATGTATAATTTTATTTTTGAATGTTTTCACGAGGGAAAATAATGTGAGATTTTTATGATCATGTCGACACTCGTCAATACTTGAAATCATTGATTGAGGTAGTGCACACAATAAACACTGGAAAGCTATTAGCATGAGATATGGAATAATATTCTAAATCAATAATTAATTAGGTATATTGTTCAAACTTTTATAATTTACACCAACCCCGCAAGGATATACAGGAGGAGTTAGAAACAGTGATGTCAAAGTCGTTTCGTCAAATGAATCACAGATAAATGCACCATGGGGTATGGGAACATAAGGTAGGTAGGTATCTCAACTTCTGTGAGAGTTGCGGCAGTAATTTTTTTTTTTACACATCACCTATAGCTAGGCCGGCAGAGATGTGAGAAGTGAGTAGGGATGAGGTAAGAGTAGAGCTTTGCTCTTACCAACAGACCTACCGAGTAAATTTTGCTAATTATGCTTGTTCACTTAAATGCGAAGTAAACGACATCGGCAGTTCCATTGTTTCATTAAAAATTTATAGGACGCAAATTGTAATGTTTAACAAATCAACATAATGGTGCATTACTGTTGCGTTTGTAATTTGATGCAAGGCGAGATAGAAAATTTCTATTTACACTGGTGAGCCTCAAATAACCCACAAATTCTTGATCAGTGAATTTATTTGCTGGTTTTTTAAATAAAAATATAACTTGTCTAGTCCCATCTTGAGTATTCTCGATCTTCTTTTTCCCATGCAAGGAGCGGTTTCAATTAATGGACTAATTCAGTCGGTTAATTTAAAGATAAATAAATAAAACATCAATTTACAAAAAGGACATTATTTAATGTAAATTGTACAACGCATGTAAAAGCAAATTTGTAACAAATATTCAAGTTTACAGGTACTAACCAGATGGCTTTTCAAAAACAATGAAATTGTTTAAGTAATTTTAATTTAGCTTTTAGGTGCAAATTGAATTCTAATGTTAAACATAATATTTCACAGATGTCTTACATTTGTATAATGAAGAGAATAAATCAGTTTAAAGTTAAAAATAATTTACTGTATATAGTTCATGAAGCTGTACTGCGAAACGAATAATAGTCAGTACAGAATTCTATTAAATAGTTGCTTTTGTCAACAAAGTTTTTTTTTTATAATTGTAATATGTTTCATATCTGTATCAAACATTAAGATGTCGAATTTCATCTTAAAGGATTATTCCATATAAAATTTTTTTCAAGTGGTCAAGTCTCGTTTGAAAAAGCCGTATGGTTTTTTGTGCAAAAACCATGTGGTTTTTTTAAAACGAGGTATTTATGATTTAAGAAACATCAAAAACATAATCATGTTTCATTTAAAAACATATTAATAGCTCAGTATCAAAAATTTATGTCAACAAATAAAAAATATAGAACTTTGTTTTATTACGGCTTCGTGTTAAAAAATAAGAATCATTCAGTTCCACCAATTGCATGATCGCTGATTAAATGCAAACAGAAATAGAAGCTACTAAGTACCTAGACAGTGAATAATCAGCTAAGTTTCTGCAAGTTGAAACAAATACTTGATTTATCTGTTTTTCACTATCAAATGTTGAAAATAATCTCAATGTATTGTAAGAGATTCCAAATTCGAAGGGACCAGAAGTGCTCATATGATTGATAACAGGGTAGTTACCTAATGGCACTCAGCGTTGCTATAGTGTACTCTTATGAGCTGTACGAAATTTATCTTATTGTGAAAAACCAGAATGTAGAAACTGCTGAGGTGCCGGGTGACATTTTGAAAAACAATACATATTTGCGACGCCTTATACGTTTCCAATAAATTTCAAAGATGATAGCGACATCGTCTGTTTGCATCAAAACAAATCACTCTGGTAAATTCCGTTCTTTCTCGTTGACATTCACACTCTTTTACGCTATTCTTATCTGATATTAGCCAAGATCACTGATTTATAATTACGGATTGTTTACGTGGTCTGACAGCTGTATAAAAGTAATGGACCTCATTAATATGGTACATTTGAAAATAAATACGACACAGATTCACCGTTGTGGGTTCTTCTTACGGCCTCGGCAAACATCATTGATACATCGATGCACTGTAAACAAAAGATAAAGTTTTGTTGCGTTGTTTATCGATGGAAAACAGAATTTTTGTAATTAAAAAGGAGTGTGGATTAACAACACCCACTTGAATTTTGGAGCACTCTTTCATGTGAGCGTCTTGAGGAATGGTGTTGGTAACAACTACGGCCTCGAAACAGGCGTTGTTGATCCTACTGATGGCCGGTCCGCTGAAAATGCCGTGGGTAAGGATGGCATAAACTTTTGTGGCACCGGCTTCGACCAGTTTGTCGGCAGCGTGCACGATAGTGCCACAGGTGTCGGCCATGTCGTCGACAAGAATGGCCACACGATCCTTGACGTCACCTACGAGAACCATGCTCGCCACCTCATTAGCCTTCTTGCGCTCTTTATGGATCAGAGCGAACTCAACGTTCAAGCGATCAGCTATTGATGTTACTCTATCGTTGAAAAAAAAGCAATTTTTAACAATTACATCATTAGGTTTTAGCTTTTCTTTTCAAGCAAAGTTATATAATGGTTGTGGAGGGATGAAAAATGATGACAGTTAATATACCAATAAACGTAAGGACTGTTCCGCACTATCATCTGTAAATTGAAAATTGTATGAAACGAATTGTAACACTCGAAATTCTTTGGACTTAAATCATTCCATAAAATTTTCTTGAGAATAATGGAAAACACCGGATTACAATTTTGGGAGGAAACGGGAAATTCCGTAGAATTTTTGTCCCATGTAAGTATAACAAGTATAGAAAAAAAAAAAAAAAAAAAAAAAAACTGACCTTTTGGCGCCACCAGCGTCGGGTGAGACAATGGTGCTATTCCTCCATTCGGGTATGTTCTCCTTGATCCACTTGAGCACAGCAGGCTCGGCGAACAGGTTGTCCACAGGAATGTCGAAGAAACCCTGAATCTGACTGGCGTGCAGGTCCATGGTGATGATGTGGTCAGCCCCAGCAACGGACAGCATGTTGGCCACCAGCTTCGCCGAAATGGGAGCGCGGCTCTGGAAAAATGAGGCCCCACGAGGCGACCCGTCAACTTTGATTCTCTTGTTTACGGCACCACCGAAAAGGAAAAAGGATTGTTTCATTCAATTGGGGCTTTTCATTTTCAACTTTTTTGTTTTCTCATAAAGCTACGAGTCCTCGAAGTCCATTTGCAACTGAGAAACTCTGCCTGTAATGTGAAAAGGGTCTCCTAGTTGAACGAACTTGGTGGCGCGTGTAAATTAAATACGTGTAAGAAAATTTCAAGAAATGACAAACGAGCTTTTAATCAACGCTAACCGGCACACCGTCCGGATTTGATCGCGTCTACTTTAAGCTGTACAGGAAGTAGAATACAAGATTATTGTTATCATTATCATCATTTTAATTTTTTTTTTTTTTCCACACGTCATTATTTGTGGAGGCGACAAAATATGAATACAATAGTACTTCAAAGCTTTTAAAATATACGTTTACATAAACAGCTTGTTTTTTATTAAAATATTTACGAATTACATTTTACGAAAGAACAGAAATTAAAATGTTGCAAATGCACCCCAGTTAAACTCGATAGGGTCTCAGCAAAGCATTTAATATCTACCAGGAAATATTAGAAACAGAAAAAAGTTTAGTACACTTTACATTTGTTATTATAAAGTTTTAAATCATATTCAGCTATCTCATTTGAAATATATTTTACTTTAATTATTTTCAACGTGTACTTAATTACTGCAACAAAAACTTAACCGCTTTTTCTTGACGAAATCAGGTACAAGCAAATGAATAAAATCTACTTCATTATTGATGTTATAAAATGTACTCAACTTCTCGTAGAAGAGATATTAAAATATGTTTTTTTTTTTTTTCGTTATTCTTCGCCTTGAGATATGCTGCAACATCACAAAAAGCTGATTCAAAAGGGTTATTTTTCGCTTGTTAGAATTAGCTGATTCGCAAAGATAAGCTTCGAGCTGTTATAAAATCAGAGAGACAATCAGCAGTAAGTACATTCCTTACTATAAAGCATGATGGAAGCGCACTTAATAATAAATGATTAAGTTTTTCCGAGATTAGTAGTTGTGCCTTTGTCAATGGGACTATGTTATTCAATTATGCGCAATTATTTTAAAACTTCCAAGCAAATCATTTTCATGATTTTTTTTCTCAAACTATCTAACGATTGAAAAACAAGTTTTTACAGTTAAATTGATAAAATTTATTATCGGGTCAAGGATTTGCGTGAGAAAAAAAAAACTACAAAAAAATAGTATTCCTTAAGAAAATAAAGAATTTTTACTTCGGAATTTTTATCTTACGCTTTATAGGACATTAAAGCGTTAGAAACTTTAAAAAAGCTGTAATCCCTACAAAAACTTGTAAAATAGATGTTTTTAATTGACAAATAATATCTAATCATTGCATAAATTTATAAACTGAGGAATGGTATAATAAAAATATTTGGAGTGAATTTCGTCTCAAACAGTTACTTATTTGTTCAATACATTAAATATATTTTTAACTTGAGGTTAAGAGCCGATAAGCTTTGAAGAATGGCATAAAATTTTTCCTCAGTTGTATCACGCTCGTACGTAAAAAGCAAATTTACTATTGTAAAAGTGAATGAGAGAAATTAAGTTGTACAAGGTTAATAAATTAGTAGGGTAAGATTGAGTAAATGAAAACATACACATGTAATAAACTCCGCATGAAAAATTTTTGAAAAAATTAAATTAATTAAATCATCACAGTATTATCAAAGAATATAATGGAATAGTGCTATTATATTAATATTTTGCCCTCTCATTCAGATAAGTATTATACAATGCATCTATACCGAATATAATCTGCAATAATAATTCATGAGGGTGTAATAACGTAGTATATGTTAAACTGTTTATTATAGAGCGAGTGGGGAGCAAAGTGATTTGGATTTTTTTTTGTTAGTCCTACCAAAACAGTATTAACAATAAAAAAAAAAATAAAATAAAAAAAAAAAGTAATCGTAGAAAATAAATGACCGAAACAAGGATTGAAAAAAAGATTTTTTTTTAAATAAAAATTAAACAAAAACGAGAGTCGTAAATCTAAGTTGGACATCAAGTTATTATGTATCAAGAAAGGCAAACGCTTCACTCGAAAATCTCGCTTTACGTGGCTAACTCTGTATTTCATTTATTTTTAATACTCACTGTCGACAGGTCGGGCACAAAGTCCTGAAAACACCCAGCCATTCAGAACTTTGTCGATAATAATGTACACATATAATTTGCTTTCGTGCTAATTTTGAAAGTGCAGACACATGAAATTTGGATGATGAAAATTTTGTTTATTTATTTATTTGTATAGTCAAAATCAGCAATGAAATCAGGCATGTTACTTTCGACATTTAATAACTAAAATTATATATTCTTGAATTTTACATAGTTTAACGAAATTCAAGTATAGGGAAATGCAGAATATCATAAATATTTGGATTATTGGCAGTGGTAACGAATTTTCATTAAAATTAGTTTTCAATGTGTACCAATATTGACATGTATATATATATACACATTTGCATGTAAAGAAAAATGAACCACTCGAAAAAGTCATCAAATCAATTGCAAATCAATTGTTATAACGAAGGACCGGATCGAATAATGGGATGGGATGGGATGTACGCGTAACCTCTTGTGTACTACCATGAAAAGTAGGCAACTTGATAAACTTCCTTGCTGATGCCGTTCTCTCAATTTTACATTAAAATAAAATGCACAAATGCCAATAAAGTAAAATTAAAAGTTAANTCAGATTGTCATTGACTTCTCCACAGCCACTCTGCACAATGTAAACATCTTCCCCTCTGACAGATTCTCCAATCTCCACACTGCACACGAAATATTAATTTTCTTTAAAAATTTTATCTTTTATTTGTTCCAATTAGTAAAAACTCCCCCTCTTACATAACAGAACGTGTTAAATAAACATAAGTTATGTACGGGTATGAAAAAAAGCTAATTTCTTAAAAATAACGAAGTAAAGGTATCTATAATTATAAAAACTGAATACGATTGCTAGTTTCATTTTTTTTTCTAGGGATTTTTAAATTTTCAATCTTTATGATACGATTTTTTAAACTGGGTTTATTGGAATAAATATAAGAAAAACGGCAAGAGGCTAAGAAGCAGACATCAGATGCATATATTCAATAAAATAATAAAAAAAACCTACGAAATAGAGTAACAGAAATCATAATTTAACAAAATATGAAATGGAAAAGTTAAATAAATATCAAGAAAATTATGAAGATGCAATCACAAAGATAAAACAATGGGGACAGAAAAAAAACATTGAAAAAATAATAACATCAACCAACAGACAAATCAGAAAGTCAAGAGAACAGACAAAACTATAAGCTCAAATAAATTTATTTTAATGTACTTTAATCCGCTGAGCATAATTTTTAATGATCAATAGCGGTATGGATAGTGTCTTTTTTGTTCTTAGCAAAATAAAGTTAAAATTTGTACAATGTGTTGAATGCATCATTATACTGTTATTAAAAACAATCTTATAGAAATATTAGTCACTACCAATGAAGGGGCCTTAAGGTGGTTTGATAGTCTTTCAGCAGGGGGTCAAAAATATGGGAAGCTCGCAGCATTACTGCAGTCATGACAGAGCATTATCCAGTTCATGTCTATTTGCTGTGTGCAAGTTGACAGTGAGGGTATTTGCGCTGGCTTTGAACACGTATTCTAACGGAAAAGTCCTGAAATTTTGCCGATCGCGGCCATATGAACTACTATTTTCCTATAAAATTTAACATGCAAAGTCCCGAAATATGGGGTGCCATAACACCTGCACACAGTAAATAGCATCAATGCATCAATTACATAAACCTAACCAATGTTTATTTTTTATTTTAAAAATCATAATTTTCTCTATAATTAGTATGATACAATCAGAGTAATCATATTAATCTGCAGTATTTGAAGTGACGAAGTATATTTTGTTCATATATATTTTATATTACATATCGAGTGAATCAAAAACTAAATTAGAGCTTCTAATTATTGTCGATATGTATCGAACCTCCTTAAAAATTTATCATCCACGAGGAAAATAAAAAAAAAAAGTAAATTCAAATCAGAATATTTATATCACGCATCATTTTATTTTTATTTTCTTCGCCTTGAGATATGCTGCAACATCACAAAAGAGCTCGGGAGTATTTTAATAAGAAAAAAACCACTCAAATCTGGAGAAGTTGTAATAAATGTAAAATTAAAAAATTCATTAAAAAAATGATTAAAAAAAATAGATTTGATATCTTATGCTTTTTTAAAATATATCATATCATATTGGTTTGTTTGTTTGTTTGCTAAAGCGTTATATCATTGATTAAAGTTATGCGTTTGTGGTCTGATTATGTCGCAAAGGTATTACCCCACGCAATCGTCAACCATGCATCTCGCTCTCTTGCATCAACATTAGCAGGTTATCTGTTAACTGATAACCTTACGACGAGTGAGACGACGTTGTCTATAAAATACACACACACTGACGTTAGCAATTCTGAAATATTTCCGATTACCATTACTTGATGAATTGGTACGAAATGGAAATATTTCATTGTTCCATGGAATTGAGGTGGAAAACAATTCCCGTGTCAAATCATGCTCATTAACACATTATTTATATATTAAGTATGTATTTGCAACAACATTTTCACCACCGCAATGATAAGATCATACTTTTTAAATTACCCTTAATGTAAAAATGACAATGAAAAGCACAAAAGGTCCTAAACATTTTATTCGAAGTGTGTGCATTCATTGTGTCAGTTAGGTATTTCCTTTCTGAATTGTTTTGATTATCCCCTAGACCAAGCCATCCAGAAAAAAATATAAGGCCGGGAAAAAAGAGCGCCACAAGTTACCCTGAATTTCCACTCGTTTGACTTCATTACAAATTGACTCAGAGTAGAGTCTGACTTGTCCCCATCACCTCCCTTTGCAGATGATAACTATCAAACAATTTCACAGCGTATTAAGAAAAAATATATATTTTGACAGAAGTTTTGGCGTTTAGAAGTCAAGCTTAATAGTCTTGTTCACTAATGAGGTTGGCTGTACTTTGGCAATTTATATCTCTTCCTTTAAAAAGCTATATATTATTATATACATTGACAAATGCTGAAAAGAAGAATCTAGATTAAAAAGCTCATTACTGCTTGAATTGAATCGAAGGAAGCTTTGGAAATTTTATGTAAACATATTGCAGCTAAACGTTGAAAGCTTATTTATACTCAAAACGATAAAAATAATTAGACTCGAAGTTACTTACTAATATGAGCCGGTTTTAATAACACAACATTACACTACTCCATATTGCAAAAGTTGAGCAAAGATAATGTTATACTATGAGTATACTTGAATTCAGTTAAAAATAGAGCGTGCATTTAAACTTTCTTATTTTACATCAGGTGATTGAAAGAGGCAATGACCTTGATTTTCAAATTTAGTGTGCCAAATGCAAATTTCAAATTAAGAATTTTCTATTTTCGATTGATATCAATCAAATGTTTCATTATGAAATATTGTTAAACAGATAATACATGTGTTTATACGTACAAATACAACACAACTGATTCATCAAAAGTAGTACATGGTTTTAAAATTGCTACCTTCGATTTCATTCTGATAGTTTACTACAAAGTACCTCAATTGTAAAATGTTGAAAAAGATAAAGATGCAGAGTTGAAAATTTGCATTGTAACGATGATTTTCAAAATGAAACAAAAGTTTGGATGTCCAGTTAATCAAACTTTTGTTAATAGCTTTATTCAATAAACAATACCTTGTCCTTCTTGTCCTGTCGGGCATAAGGGAAACAGGGAATGACTGCTGTTACTCGAGACGCAGATGCAATTTTACAGGCATTTATCATGATCAACAATTCCATCAGATTGTCATTGACTTCTCCACAGCCACTCTGCACAATGTAAACATCTTCCCCTCTGACAGATTCTCCAATCTCCACACTGCACACGAAATATTAATTATTACAATTCATTGGAACAAAGAGTTTGTATTATTCATAAGAACAATTTTAAATATAATTTAAAAAATATAGTTTGCTTAAAAAATAAAAATTGTTTAATACAACAATAAACGTGAATGGTAAGCAAAGTGCCCAGCTGTTTTTTTTTATGTGCAAATATAAATATTTTGAATAATGTTTCATGCAAAACTTTCCTTACACTGATAATCATACATAGAATTTTTTTCATTTATCTGACATTTTGAAATGTATGCTACAACATTCGTTAAGGTTACGATATAGAAACTTTTCAAAATATAGTATACACAAGTACATAACACCAAGTAATGCACTTATATCGGTACACAATTTTGATTGCAACATCAATTAAAGAGATTAGAATAACAAGCATTAGATAGATAAATTTCAAAACATCATACTTTGTTGATCAATTACTGTTTACTGTTGATAAATTTTTATAAAATTATGTACTAATATTTTTAATACTGTAATAACTGTAGTAATAAATAGAAAAATTTGTTCAAAAAATGTATTTTTTGTGAAATTGGCGTTATTTTGTCAAAGTTTATTTAATGGCGATCAATAAGATAAATAACTGATTAACGTAGACTCATATCGCGCACATTTGCGGAAAAGCTGTTTAAAATATCTTCGTTTACCCGTCAGCTTGAAAAACAATTTCCACTCGGTGTAAATATTTTACTTAGCATCCAGGAAACGGTCGTTTTACACTCAAGCGCGATGCGTGCAGCTCTCGGCTTACATAAATATTCTATTATATTAGCAAAAAAAAAAAAAAGTAATAATAACCAAGTAAATATTAAAATCACAAAAACTCTTAAGACGTTCCATCAGTTTGCTATCTACAGTATCGCGCTTTCTCTCCGATAATTATATATTTATACGAATACGGTGCTTCGGATTCGGATGGACCAGTTCTGTATACAACGCAGCAGCATCCGGAAGAAAGAAAACAGCTTGTATGGGGAAAATTATCGTCTCGCTCGTCGTTCTTAAAAATGAGAGAAAGAAATAAGTAAAACTACTCCCCAAAATGGGAGCAAAATAAAAATAAAAGGAGATTCATACAAATGGAGCCCGCAGACAACGTAAAAAGGAAAAACCAACTGCGCCGGCTAACAGAGAGTATATAGGTATATATGTGCATAAACAGGTACAAAAGAATGCCATCAGCTGTGGTCTGTCGATTTCGGAGCACAGCAACAGCGCGCGAGTGCTCCAAAAATTGTCTGTATGAGGATGTATAGGTATACCTGCTATTGTAAAGCAGCGTGTAATTAAGTAGGTACCTGCGTGCGATGAAAAAATAAAATTCGGTACTTGCATTAGGCTAGAACACGAGCACGCAAAAAGCATCATACCTATATCCCTTAGGTTTCTAAATGCGAAAAGCGGGAGAGAGAGAAAGAGGAAGCGCTGCACGTGGTCGGTAGGTAGTGTAGGTACCGAGGAAAAGACTGACAGGAAATAAATACGCTGTTTATCGATGCCAAGTTTATCCTTGGACCACCTCTCGGACGACAGGTGCACGTCTACAACTTTTAGCGTGGATAGGTATAGATAAAGTAAAGTATATAAACAAACCCACAAATGAAAAATCAAATTATGCGCGTATGAGTATATAAGTGCAGAGCAGCACCCACGAGACAATTCAAGAGCGAAGGCGAAGACGTAACAGAATCTCGGGTAGTATGTAATTGAAACTATATGAATGCATATACGTGCTCGGGTACGGATTTAACGTTACAATTGGTATTGTGCACACGATTAATTATTTAAAAAACCATTGGTATTGCAATAATCGTGGCAAACAGAGCCGCGAGAGAGATGTTTCAGCGCGCACGTGAAGTATTGGCTCGCAATTGAATTGGCTCAGCCAGCCAGCCGACCGATAAAAAATATATATATACCCAACGGACTTACCATGTCTCGAGATTGCTGAATTTCTTGGTTACGACCTTGCCTATGTCGATACCGAGCCTGTCGACGATGCGCTGGGCCAGATCGGGGTGCGAGGTGCCGCTGAAAACCTTGATGTTCGGCATTCTGCTCTGTAGGTAGCCACTCGTGCGAGGCTTCTCCAAGTTTGCGCGTAACAAACTCTTGGCACGCACTGGCTGCGAGACGGGCATCACTGGGCTCCCCGACGAGCCAGAGAGTGGTACAAACGTTGTGTGTTAAAATATATATTGCAGAGAAAGAGAGAAAGAAAGAGCAACGATATGATATAGTGACGATAGTGACGGTATTGAGGTATGTCACATACGTCACTCGTACACGTATAAGAAGTAAAAACAGGGTGTGTATATAATATATAGGTTAGTGACAGCGGCGCACGCACTCGGGTTGGTGCGTGTGAGCAGTGTTTTGTTTTGTTGCGTTCGTAGATGATCGCGGCCACCGACACCTTCATGCGTGTATAATGCACGTAATTATAATTATGAGTAGGGTACAGCTGGATAATTGCAAGCAAAATATTGTAATAAGTAGCACGAGAGGCACGAGAGTTGGAGTCGGTGTGTCGAAGGAACGATATTGTTGATTGTTTTATATACAGCAACAGTGGCGATTGCAGTCCGAGCCTGTCAACTAGAGTGAGATAGCTACTATACGTCAACCAATCGTGTTCCAGCTAGAGAGAGATAGCTACTCTACTAAAAAACTCCATCCGCCATTGGCGCCGTTGTCAGAGCACAATTATTATAGGTTAGGTCTTGATTGTCATGCTGCTCTCTAGCGGTTGAGCTTGCACATTAATCGTGGAGCAAAAAAATGCTTTATACCATGTTGTCAGTTGCCTTACCTACTTGTATAATTACTTACGCAAAAATTGAAAACAAAAATTTTCTCAAAATAAGTTATTATTTTTGAAGCTATATACGTACCATTGTAATGACAAGTTTTTGAAATTGGACAGTTCGAATTAAGTAATAGACCTATAAATTTGAATAAAATTCAAAGTATCTAAATTGAAAAATATCTTTCACAATAAGCGTTATCAACGAGTTTGCACAATTTTCGCTCTTACTAAATATAGATTTGATTTATCTTTCCCCAAGAGTTTAAAAAAAATAAAGGCTGCTGATAGTAATAATTTCAACTCGATGTATTCTGAATGTTATCTAACTATCATTGATCACTGGAAATTCGAGTGAAATAAATCGTTACCAAGTAGTTGCTAAGATACTTCTTCTTCTAAAAGCTATATGTTATAGAATAAGTTTTGTATGCATGGTAGGAATAGTGTTTTTTTCGATTATTTCGATCTCAATAATATTTTAGATGATTTCAATTAAGATAATTCATTTTTTTTGTTGCATTTTTTAAAAATTTCATTGAATTAACTCTATGCGTTATTCAAACTGTAGGGTAATCTCTTAACCAGTCTACTTTAAAATTGTTTTAAATTGTCAGCGTATCTGGCACATGACGAGCTCCTGTATACTTTTTCAGAGATTTGGCTAAAAAAACACGTTGACAGTTTATTTCACAAAAAAGAGTTGAGCAGAGTGCATAAAAGGATTTAATTCAAATAGAGCTACTCCAGGACCTCCAGGTAGACAAAATATTGGAAAGTCGTGGTAAAGAGCGATCTAAATAATATTTCGTCAGTAGGAGGTGTCACCCTGAAAAGTTTAATGCTGTATACATCAAGGACAAGTTTTACGTTGTACAACCTATAGCAATAGTATTATGCGGATATACTATTACAATATAAATTAAGTATTTGCGGCACCCCAATGAATTCGTTTTAAAGGTCAATTGTTTAATACCATGGTATTACAAAAACAAAAATTATTACACATAAACAAAAACAAATTTAACATTAGTCTTTTCTGTATCACCACATTCCTTGCAAGATATTGTACATTATATTTTTTTGAATACATGAACCCATAGGCTTCTGAGCTAAAAAAAAAGTGACGCGATACTAATTCAGGGGGCTTATTATGACTTTTAATATGTCGCAAAACTTAAAAGTTTTCTCTATCACAAAAAATACTCACTCATGATAATTGACCCCCAGGGGCCTTATCATGACTTTCAATACATCTTAAAACCTATAATTTTTCTCGATAGTCCTTATCTATAAAATAGACAAAAACATTAAAACAAAGGTAATATATGCACATATGCGCGGTTTAGGGACGATGACAACTAAAGTACCTTACTAACAGTTACGGCGACTGATAAAATCGTGATTTTTTTTGAATCAATGACAAAGAAATTAGTAGGGACCTTTGAGAAAAAAAAAAAAAAAAAAAAAAAAAAGTACAAGGGATAATAATAAATAACGAAAAATTAAATTATATGTACAATTAAAAACGCACCCCAAGACCATAGAATCCTACGCAACACATGACTCTATCTCAACTGTTAATTTAGTTTGTTTTTACCACCTACATTAAGCTATAGTTTTAGTAGTGGCCAATAGAGGCGCTACTGATACCTTAGGCCGCGGCCACATAGAAGAACTCCGAACGCTTGACGTCCCAGAATTGTGCCTAGTTCTTCGCTGCCAACGTCAAATGAACTAACTCCCCCAAACACATGCCGTAATTGCCGTACAGTCACACTTTTTTGTAGATTATTTGAGTTTGGTACGTTGGCAGTGAAGAACTAGCTATAAGGCACGATTCTGACAGACGTCGAATAGCGGAATTAGCGGAGTAGTGGACGCGTGGCCCGCGGCCGCCCAATTTCAGTCTCCGAACATACCTATATTCATAAAACTAAATGTATATATACATATATATATATATATATTTGTTATGTTACACAAGTGGTAGTATACCTATGTTAATGTATGGAGATTTCAGGTAAGGTAAGGATAAGGAAAGAAATAACCTCAAGGAACGTAGGAAAGAGTGGAAAAGTGAAAACCATCAAAGTAATTTAAAAGCTTCTTATCCATACGATCTTATCTAAATTGATCAGCAGGCAGTATAAGGCACATAAGCATCACAGCTTAGTCTGCTTAGTAAGCTTAATGTTAAAAGTTAATGAACAAGGTTGCTCTGAACTTTAATATTATTAACGGATTTTAAGACTTACCTCGCTTAGTTTATAAACTAACAGCAATAAAGGTATTTAGCTATATTTATACCAGAATAAACTGCTACAGCCACAGCCTGTAAATTAAGTACTTAGTTATACGTGTGTGTGGTGGTGTTGTGAATGCAAATAATAAAATCAGATGCAGTTGTAGCTTCCAGTGTATATATGCACATATATGAATTTGCGCTGATTATGGTGTTTCATTTGTAACTGCCCATTTCTGAGGGTCAAAGGATTTGTCATCAATAACCATTAATAGTTACATTAACGTTTAAAAGTAAAACGATTACTGCGTCGTGTCAAGTGGCTAATATTTACATTTATATTTTCGTGTGTAAGTACGTGCATGTATACTGTATAACGTCAGGCAACCGCAGTGCTGTTTTTGGAGTTGTCTGCTAAGATCTGACAATATTTGGTCCAAACGTCTGTATTCGTGCTCCGAAATTGTTAATATATACACTTGTAGCTTGTATTGTTGATTCACTCCGCTATTCGTCATTCAACGTTGGTGTATTTAATTTATGAAGAAATGACGGAAAATACGTGTGACTCATTTTATTTTCATTATTTACATATTCCTGGTATCTATATTTCTAAGAGTAAACAAAATCTTAAATTAGCCCGTTGGGCGTGATCGTAGTGTGATACTTTGTTAAGTATAGTAGGCATGCATGCCTGTTTCGGTTCGTTGATTTTTCTCAGTGACATCGATGGCTATGTGTTTGGGTTTGCTGTCCTCGTTTTTTCATAGATTTGTTTTTTTTTTTGACGAAAAAAAAGTAAACAAGTCGTCTTGTTTTTAATAGTTACGCCATAGACACTAACTTTTTGGATGAACACTATTCCTTTCAACTACTTTTGTTGATCATTAAATACTTTTTCCCATTATCGCAAATAATTTGTGAATTGTACAACACTTTGTCGTTTATGACATAGTAAAGAGAATATACTGTCTTTGAATGAAAATATGTACTTAGGAAAATTCAACAAACTACTGTAGAGGAGGTAAAAAAGATGAGCAACGCATAAATTGCTATATGAGTATAGTGCTTTACATGTAAATCGACTGTATTAAGAAAAAAAAAAAAAAAAACGTAATAGGACTGACTTTGAATTTATTAAGTGGTCTGAAATATACATTTTCGTAAAATTTACCTTCAATTATTTCCTCATGCAGTTTTTAGAGTCTTAGCAATTACCATTGAAGGGTTGTAAAATAAGCGATTGTTAGCTTACTGTTCTGGATGATCTATCTGTTTTTAATTTTGGATAATTTCATATCCTCTAGAAAGCTAGAGAATAAGTTTATTATTTTTTCTCATTTGCGGTATATTTTTCGTTTTTATTTATTTATTTACTTTTAATGTTAGTATATGTTTTTATAAACAATAACACAAGTATTTTAATTCCATTCAATATTCGTATTCACATCAGATGTTTGAATAATTTGTAGTACACACATTTTTTAACATAAACTATATCAATACTCTTATGTGTGCAGATCAGAAAATAATGTTGCAGTTAGACGTCAAAAGGCAAATAAACACGTAATTGAAATGGAGGACAAATGTTCTATATCATCACTGGTAATACAACGTGCAAAGATTCATTTATAAAATTTGTGGGAATGGGCAACTGTCTGTGCAAAGATGGCAACGAAGAAACCACTACCCAAGATCCTCAGGATGTTTCCAGAGCAGCTGGAGCAACAATATTGTTGGACAACTACATGGACACCGAGGTGGAGGCTACTAATTACAAGTTTCCCACATCATCGAAGATCGATGAGCTAGTCTTGGAAATATTGAGTGTTATAGGACTACTCGTTGACAAGTAAGGGACTTTTTGCCATCAATATTTAACATTTATTGTTTATTTATACAAAGATTTAAAGCTTGCTTTGTTAAATTGTGCACATATTGTTTATAAGAATAATTTTACATCTTTGCACGTAGTTAGTAGCATAAATAAACATAAATTGTACTTAATTCAAAGAGGCAGGAAACTTTTTCAATGAAAAAAAGTCAAAACTTTTCACATATACAAATAAGTTTAACTTTGATGTTAGTGTCAAATGAAAATGAATATTTTATAAGCTATCTAAAACAGTCATACGTAATGTTAAGCTGAAGTTAAAAATTGAGCGTTTTCCAGTCATTTTTTTGTGTAAACAATAATTATGATTTCCCTGGCAGTGAACAAGAGCCTCCACCAGCTATGCTGAAACTACACAATATTGCTGATAAAGAAGATGGGTGGATACAGGTTGTTAGTTCTATGGTCAATGTTATTCCCATGCATAATCCATTGGGTCCATCAGTCATTACTTTAATGTTGGATGATTGTCCATTACCTTCGAAAGTAAGTTCTCAGTATTAAGTTATAAAAAAAAGTTTTTTTTCTGGTTGAAAATCTAGAAGTTGCAAATTTTTTCAGGACTCAGTTTTAAGGTTGTCACAAGTTTTTAAATTATCGCAGAAACATAGTAAATTACAAACAAGTCCCACGCAACAGCGGAATATTTGTGTGGTTCTTGGGTGCATTGCAGAAAGATTGGCTGGTCCTAGTAGTATAGCGATTCAATCAGATGCTACTCTTGATTATCTCGTTTCTAATCTTGTACGAGATAGTGAAATTTATTTTCATTAATGCTGCTGAAAATTTAATTTTGAAATTAAACGTTGAATTTTTCATTTTTACAGAGAGAAGATATTGAACCGTACGTTGTATTATATTCCTTGATAGCTTTAGAAAAGTTTGCCCAAACAAGTAGTAAGCATTCATTATAGTTCTTGTTTCGAATTATACAGCTATTTCATCATATTAAAACAAATTAATAACATTAGGTGAGAACAAAGTAACTATAAAACGGCGACTTTTATCGGAAAAACCGAATCCCTTGTTGGAATTGGAAAATTGGGTCACAGAGACTCATTACGTCCAACGACAAGTCGGTTTCTGTGCTCAGTGGTGTTTAGATAATTTATGTAAGTATATCAATACGCGTGGGTGCACGCTATTGTAATGGTTGCTGAGATTTCTACTTTTCATTCGTTGTTGCAGTTTTAATAGAAGACCGAAAGTATTCCTACGAAACGGTCGACTTGACTGACGTTAACGTGATGTTGAACACAATGGACGTGAGTGAGTACCTGAAAATCTCTCCAAACGGCTTAGAGGTTTGTAAAAGTATTCTTATTTTTTTTTTTTTTTTTTTTTTTGCGAATTATGTTTTAAAGCGTTTCTTGGTTTATGGTAATTAATTGTAGGCAAGGTGTGACGCATGTTCGTTTGAAAGTGTTAGATGTACGTTTCAAGTTGACGAGGGAGTATGGTATTATGAGACTTTAATTATAACTACAGGTGTGATGCAAATAGGCTGGGCTACAAAAGAAAGTACTTTTCTAAATCACGTGAGTATTGAAGTCAACTGTGAAAATCAGTGGTGTTGATGTTTAAAATTATGATCGGTCTGGTATGAATGTTCGTTGTTTTAGGAGGGATACGGGATCGGAGACGACCAATATTCGTTGTCATTTGATGGGTGTCGAAGGTTAATATGGCATAATGCACGAAGTGAAAAGTTTTACTCTGTACCTTGTTGGAAGGCTGGTGACATTTTGGGCTGTTTGCTGGATCTAAACAAATTGGAAATTATTTTTTCTTTGAATGGAGTTGCACTCAAACCTTGTACCCAGTTATTTAGATGTGCTAAGTAATATTAGATAATTTAAAAATGTACTAACGCAATTTTCTCATTACTTGTTTAACATGAATGAATTTTCATAGGTCTGGATTTTTTGCTGCCGCCAGTTTTATGTCATTCCAGCAATGTCTCTTCAACTTTGGTAACAAACCTTTTAAGTATCCACCCACGGATCGAAGTTATCAAACGTTCAATGATCATGCAAGCTTAGATCCCGAAGATAAAATCGTTTTGCCTAGGCATATATATCTCAATCAACTTAGGAGGCTCAGCGTTCGAGAAGACTCCTGTACACTTTGCTTTGATCGCAAAGCGTCCGTCAAATTATTACCCTGTGATCATCGGTAAGATTAAATTGTTTTCATTTTGATATTTGTTAATTTTACTTCATTATTTTTTTAATTATTCGGATAAATTTTTTAAATAAATACATTATTTTACAGGGGTTTTTGCCAAACGTGTTCTAAACAATTATCCGAGTGTCCGATGTGCCGAGCTACAATCATTGAAATGACAGTGGACAATACCTGACGTACGCCAAAAAGATTGGCACCAGCGAAGCGGATATTGTTAAGGATAAAACTATTTAACAAACAATGTTGCGGATTACCAAAAATGATTGAATTAAAATTAATCAGTTTAGTTACTGGTGCGAAAAACGTTGTAGAATAACGAATTATGTGGTACTATAAATCTTCTATTTTCTTACATGACTATCGAAAACTAGTTTAATACGTGAAAGAAGTTTGAACCTGAAAAATATTTCAAATTTTCGTAGGGATTTTAATGTCGCTTAATTAATTCTAAACAGCAAATAAAAAAAAATATCGTTATTGGTTTAAGCATATTAATTACCTAAGCTTTAATGTGATTTATATCTTATTATTGCAAAACTATCATTTAGTTCGTTAACTGATTTTGGTATAAAGGATTAAAATTGAATATGTATGTCAACGAATATTGACAATTTCATCAATGCAATATGTTTGGTATAATTTAACATTCCAATGAACAAGTAACTTTCAGACTTTAATGTACCTTATTTTGAATTTCTATAAAAAAACTCCATATCAGATATTTTATTTTTTAAACATTTTTTATGTTTCAATACTAAGTATACCGATCCGAGCCGAATTACGGGTAATAAATGATTAGTTATGATATTTTTTATGTGTGTCACTAAAGTGTGAGTTGCTTGATTTGAAGTATAACGTTCTTATCTACTTTTAGATAAGAAAACAATATACTTATCTCATCACTGTAAATTCAGTGAGCGTTTAAATGAAATCTCGAGTGACTCCAAAAAAATCTTATACTGCAAAAACATTTTTTGTATATCATGTAACCACATGGCTGACATTGATTGTTCGCTAAATCGTCTATTGTTGTTAAGAGAAATAAAATAAAATGTCAATAAAAAATATTTATTTAATTAAAGCGTCAACCTNAAACTTGGTTCTTTTTCCAATGCAAAAAAAAAAAAAAAAACACCTCCTTTCTGTTAAACACGACAGACATAGATAACATTCAAATGATGACTCTTTCTCCAGTACAAGGTGAGCCCATAAAGTACGTGCGCGATACAACATCCGTCGAATTCAATGCAACATAATTACAAAGTACGTTGTTGCTTTCGTACAAGAAAATTGCTCGTAATAGCAGCCACATCTCATTTTTAATTCATCAAACTTCCCAACTACTATCGACAAGTCGGTGTAAAACGTGCTGTAAAGCATTGGCTTCCCCGTTAATTAAATTCTCGAGGCGAAGAAGTGCTTTAGCGCACTTCAAAAGGCAAGTGTTACAGCCTGTTATTTTCATATATGTGCTGAGATAATACGTGCTGCATCCATCTAGGCATTTCAATGAAAATAACGAGGTGTACAACGAAGCCTCGAGTATCGCCTGAGAAAGCTTTGGCGTTTACGAAAATGAGTGTCGTGCTGGCTGCCGTCTGGCCATCAGACATCAAAACCAAAGGATTGCGAATGAAACTTGTGGACTTGGTTTGGTGCTGCTCTGTTTTAAGCTCAATGTGCCTGCTGTTGCCGCTTCTCGCATCCATTTACGTGTACAAGGATAATCCCATCGTTGTGTCGAAGTCCGTGTGTCTGTCTTGTGCCGTGACGCAGGTCATCATGAAAACTGTCGTTTGCCGGGTGAATCGAAAAAAAATTCAGGTATTTACCATACAGTGCGTTGATAATTGCCTCTTCCTCTCGATTACACGTTAATTTCGACACACACTTGCAGTTGTTGTTGAAAGAGTTGGACGACTTTCTGAAGACGGCAAAGTTGCGCGAGCGACGAATGTGTCAGAAGTATGTCAGCAAAAGAGCGCCGTTTCACATGGTCATCACATTGTGCTGTTACGGAGCTTCGTTGTTTGTGATTTGCGGTCCCATATTTTTACCCTATTCATTACCAACGGACGCGGTTTATCCGTTTTCCGTGCAAACAGGCCCCGCGTGGAGTCTCACTTACGTGCACCAAGCCATCGCTGGGTTTCAAGCTTCCGCGGGTATGTGCGTCGACGGCTTCGTGGCTTTTCTCCTTTGGTTCACGGGAATCAGATTCGAGCTGCTGTGCCGGAAATTCGAAAAGATTCAAAACATGCAGGAGATGTACCAGTGCATCCGAGAACATCAAAAAGTACTGAGGTCATTCATTTTCTCGCTTGATAACAATGCTGAGTTTGTCGTTGGAAATCTTTAATCACTTGAAAGCTTTTAGATACGGTAAGGAGCTCGTAGGAGCTTTTCGCTACGTACTTTTTGCCACAGTGTTTTCCGTAACGGCGGGACTAGCATTTGCTGGAATATATCTATTCAGCGTAAGTACAAGTTTTCAGCCTCTGGCATTGTAATCGATTCTAATTATACTTTTTCCAGCCTCAACCAATGTTCGTGAAAGGACAATTTGCTATTGTTTCCATCAGTGCTGGTATCAACTTGTACGTGACAGCTCTACCTGCTGATAACTTGATAGTCATGGTAATCTTTGACAATCATACATCAATAATTGCATATAGTTGACGAAGAGTAAAGTAATACAATGTTGAAAACAATGTAGTGCAGGAAGTTATCTGATGTGGCTTACACGTCTTTGTGGATACGTAATTCATCGGGCGCCATCACTAAAAATTGGATAACCATTATCCACAGAGCACAAAAACCCGTGACAGTCAACATTCCAGGTTTAATTAAAGAATTGTCTCTGAAATACTACTTTAATGTAAAGACTATATTGATATCACTTTACACAATTAACTTTTTGACATTTTGCATTGATATACATTTTGGCATTCCAGGTTTTATCCAGTACCTTCTCATATTTTACTGCTCTGCATGTTATTATGATGAAAAATGTTAAGTAATGAGTATATTTATATACTTGAATCTTGGTATTTTTGGTAAATTGCGAGAAATATAAATTGTAACCGAAATGTAAGTTATCTTATCCATCTTTATATGATCAAACCACACACGCACACACACATTTTATCTTAAAAGATTGATTGTTACATATCTGTGGCCCATGTTTTTGTTTGTGTTTGGATGAGACAGATTACGTAGTTTGTTTGTCAGAGTTTAAAAAAAAACAAACTCCTTCAAGTGTAGCAATATCGAATTAACATGATCTTAAAAGATAATATTTGATTTATTCGCCTATTAAAACAATACAAATAATTGGATCTGAACCCAAACAAAAATTATCTTATTTTTATTTATTTATTTACTTTTAACCTAAGTTTGGAGCATTTGCGTGGGATGAGACGATTTAAATTCCATTTTTACGGACACGTTTACCGTAAAATGACCTTAAATTACCTTCATTGTTCATTGTTATATATTATAGTTGAACGTACAATTATTTGCTTTTTCGAAATCTGGGATAAAAAATTAGTCAATGTCCCCCTAAAAGTTATATAACTTTTGTCTAAACACTTTTTCGATGTAGGTCCTTCCCATAAAGTTATTCAGGTGCTTGTTTTTGCATTACCTAATGAAAACTGCAGATTTTCTGCTTACGAAAGATTTTATGTAACAACACTGCTACGGTGGTTCCACATAGACTAGGGTTGTATCTATGTAGTGTTTTCCTAAAAAAGTTACTTTGAATTTGTAAAGATATTTTAAGAACAAATATATTAATCTTTAATCAACTGCATTTAACGAATTAATTAACTTCTAATATAAAAAGCACAGGGGTTTTGCAGAATGCACCACATAGTTGTGAGGGTGTTCAGTCTGTCACAGAAATGTTTCACTTGATACGGCCTTTTTGTGCCCATCGCTAATACAAATACCAGCAAACTGGACGTTTAATTTTTCAACTTAAGCAATTCCTTGTATTACTTATTATTATCTTGCAAGCCATGACAGAGTAAATATTGCCAGCTATGAGGTGATTCGTAAGGCTTCATAAAACATTTCAATACTATGGTATAAGTATACATGCCAAGCACTTTTCAGTGTCCTTTTAAGCACTCCAGTCCCTGCATTCGTTTTCTAATATTTCATTGAAGAGCGAAAATTTTTTCATTTACGTGTCAATGATTTTTTTGCAGATAGGAAAAATGAGAATAAAAACTACATTTCATTCCTGTATTAAATTCTTCGAAATAACATTTCCTTTGGGATTAATTATCCAGTTTAGCTTTATTATTCGAATCAATCGATGAAATTCTATGGTTGTTCCGTGGCTTCACGGAAGGGAACACATGCTGGAACAGGCTGATAATTGATTGATAGGCTACATATGCAGATAATAATAGTGAAGAAGGTGAGAAAAGGGATGTCAAGGAGTTTACAATTATAATATGACAAGATGTATGGAGTATCTTAAAAGCACTTATTTGATGAGGAAACTTTTAATTTTGCACAAATTTAAGGTATAATTTTTATAAAAATTGCAATGATTGTTATCCATAAGACATAATGGTTTAAAATTTACGATGATTCATGCATCTGATCTCAAGCATTTGTGTTTATTTAGGTACATGACGAGACGATGAAAAAAATTTGGAGAGGAACTTACGATTTAAAAAAAAAAAATGAGTTCTATAAGTTAAAGATTTATCGAGGTTATTTACTATGGAGTAAACAATTAATATATCTATAGTATTCTTTTTTTAAACTCAATATACGCATAAAAATACTTGAATATTTGTTCCAGGACACAAATAATTAAAAAAAACTTTTTTTTTTTTTTAATAACTTTTATTAAAAGCGTTGTTTTACGTATGACACCTTCATGCCTTACTAGTTTAAAATAAACACATTTTTTAACAGTTGAATAATTAGCGGGTGTTCTATTTTAACGGCCAATGTGATGAATTGGGGATTAGAAAACATCTAAAAACTTGGTTCTTACATCCATGGAAGCTACTGTACACAATAATAAATAACAATAAAAACCACATGTACCTTAATATGAGTAATGAATATTTTTTTAAATTATTGATAATTGATTTTTCCAAAGCCCAACTTCTATGATACAAAAAAAAATTTTAAATATGAAACAAGTGTCTCTTAAAAAAGCATACCTCTAGAACAGTAAGGAGTGTATTTTCCATGTTCCAGCTGGCATCGATCGATCTTATTATTTATGAATACAAAGGTCGAGTGAGTCTACAAAAACAATTCGAGTACGTCCTTTCTTTATAGGTCAAAAGGTATGGATTCGAAATGTACGAACGAAGCGGCGACACACCAACACAACAAGAAAAGTGAGACATTTAGCAATTTGTAGATAGATTTGCATCAGCTTCGCGATGCGCTGCAAATCAGCAATGAAACGAATAATACGGAGTAATAGGACCAACGAACAGTCATTTGCATACGATATCTGCTGTGGTTAAGGGTCTTGGTATTCCAGAATCAGATCCGAAACTGCTCGAAGGTTGAAATAAATAAGATGATGCGGTATACACTCTTGAGAAGCTTACACTCAATGGGACTACGATTTTCTAATCTTGATGACTTTGAGTAGGCTAAAAAGTTCTAACTTTTTCAAGTTGGTTCAAAGTTGTTCGTGACTCCAGCGAACCATTCCCAATGGCTTCTGATGGACGATTGCATTTTGACAATACTAAATTACCCTTACAACTTCGCAATAAATAGATAAGTTACAAAAACGAGTTCTTATCTTTTTCGTGGAATTTGGTTCTTTTTTTTTGTTTCAAAATATTTATTTATTGTCCGTTGTCGATAATCTTCGAAAAGTAAGTTTTGAAAATTCCAAATAACCCCTTCTCATTGGAAACCCAAAATTTGAGTAACACAACTCTAAAAAGTCATTACAGGGTTAGAATTAATTTTGAAATCATACCAGAAACTTGTATGAAATTCAGAATTTTTCAAAATACTCTATCTAAAAAAAAAAAGAAGTGTTCCATTGACGCATCGTTTTTTTTCCTAGCGATCGATGGGCATGTCCACGAAGCTCCCCCTCTACTCTTAATCTCTATTAGTAGCGATGTCAGGGTTGAGCCGAAGGGAAAAACTACGTATCCTCCATTGCATCCCATATGGGTACACAATGTGCATGACGGGCAACTTTTTCTAACCCCTAATTTGCAGCTCTGCTCATAGTATATTTATAATTATATTCGTATGCGACCTCCATGGGCTTTTTTTTTATGTTTGTTTCATCAGCTTTCATATTTTATAGCTTACATATACGTACAGTCCAGTATAATTTTTTTTTTTTACAATGTTAGTTTAATGATAGCCAATGAAAATACAGCACGTGAAAAAAAAGGGAACCACATTTATTAAAATGTTTCAGTAATTAAACCGTAAAATGTTATTAAATTGTATACCTTGAAACTACTTATTGACATAAAAAATAGTCGATTTGACTGTCAATTAATTGTGAAATAGTTTACAAAATGTTAATCTTCCTGTCCATTTTTCATATCCTTAATTTAGCATTTTTACCTAAAGATTCCTTGCTTTTTCTTTTTGTTTAATCTACAGATTTCTGTAATAATATAAAACAGAAGCTCTTACAAAAATCAGTTACCATACAAGTGTTATTATCTGGAAACTTTTATAACAACGGCAATAAAAAGTGCTTTCCTCCTTACCAACACGCGCTATCAGTTTCGTCTTTTGTTAGCTTATACGTCGCAGTATACACGCAGACACAATTAAAAACTCTGCAATACGCGTTTTCTCATTTTGCAATTATACCGAGCTTTGGTACATGAAATGAAATTTTAAACAACGAGCGAAGCTGACGATATTGCAAAAAAGGGCCCATAAAAGAATACACCTTTACATACGTACAAAGATGAGATGAGAGCGGGTATAGCTCTGAAAGCCCGACTTTCTCTTCATTTCCACCTTTGTGCGGTCCGACGCGGTGCGCAAGATTAAGGAAGCCTTACGGGGCTGGTGTCAAATGCGCATTCATTCGCCGGAGAGACGACTAGATTACATTTACATTTTTATTTCCCGGCGCTCTCTTTGAGGCTACGTATATATATATATACATATATATATACGCTCGTCCCCGCATTGACTTTTTCCTTATCAGGCTTCCCTACTCATTCGCACGTTCTAAGAACAAGCGCACGCACGAGCCTTGGGGTAATTTATTCATCAATTTTTCTTTCTCGTCCCACTGCGCGCACGTGATTGAAAATCATCAAGTATACCTCTGCGAATGGTCGCATCTTGGTGGATATAAGTATTTTACGAGGTCTATTCAAAAAAATTCAATGTCTGACCGAATACTTGCTTGTACTACTTCATTTCGTTGATGCCAAAACGAACCTTACGCGCAGCTATGAGGCGAATTTCCACGATTGTGGCACCGATGAAGAACAAATTCTTTCAAGCTTGTACGGCAAAAATAAATGCTTGAGTTTTTTTTTTATGGTGGAATTATTCACGAGTGGAATTCATCGATGCGGTTTTAAGTACTTCTTTTCAAATATTTCTCCATACAAAGACTCGAAAGGATTTTTTTTTTTTTTACCGAAAATCCATTTAATTCTGAGGCATATGAAAAGCATTGTCATCGAGTGACGTAGGTATAATGTATGGCTCATTTCACCGATGAAAGACAAATTTCCATTGTTCACGGGCGTAACAAAAGAAAACACTTGCAGAGAGAGGAACAACTCACCGGCAAACGATTGCCTTGGAGCGGAGATACGATGCAAAGCGCGAGGGAGACGTGATTCTTCCTCTTGAATAAGGGGTTCAAGGGTCGAGGTAATGGCGCGCGTTTCGAGGGGAGTTTGGTAATTGTCTACGGGCGTTATTAAGGTGAATTAAGGCGCCTCGGAGCCACCTGAGATTTCTCCGGGAAGTACGTGCTCTTTCGGCTAGCGAGACGGCAAGAGTGTAAACGAGTAAATAG